ACTAGGTGGGTAGTTGGATAGGCATGTTTCTTCTTGCTTCCTCGATATTCCCCACCCGTGAGGGAGCCTTACTACGTGAGGGCCCAGACCAGAACCTCCTCACCGGCGCGCGCGTCCTGCGACACACGAGCGAGTCTCATGACCACCGTTCGTGCATGGCGCATCTCCACTCACTGGGAGCAAGCCTGGCGGGCGGCCTCCCGAGGGCAAAAGGGTCGTACTCGTTCGCACCCATTTGCCATTTTTTCCATATCATTCGTGTTAATGTCTTGGAGATCTTGAAAACGGCTCGCTCGTTTATTACAAGGGCAGATGCCAGTGGTTGGATCTGTCTCCCGCGCCGCGGCGGGCGGGCTGGGGCGCTTGATCTGATTCACTCAAGCTTCAACGGGCCGCTTCTTCGTAACTATATCAGAGACAAGACAAGCACAAGACACTTGGGCAAGACAAGACACGATCACGATCAAGATGTGGTGATCGCGTCGCACGGCATACTGACGTAGACTTGCTTTTTCCCTCTTGTTACTGTTCTCTTGTAGCCCCTCCTGCCTCGTCCTCCTTTCGTTCCGGGGCGGAAAGGAAAGGAAGGGGAGGCACCGCCCTGTGAGGCCCGGCCAGGCCGGGCCAGGCCACAGACGCGGCCGTGTGTTCATATCGACCCCTTGTCATGCGGGCAGCCGACGACGGCCGGTCTACTAATAAGGTTGGGTAGGGTGGGCAGGGTATGCACACCGGCTTGGCTGGGCTATATGGACGTGGGTACATATTCTTAGAAACCGGGAATTGATTTGACTCCCCTTACCCACACGCGCCGGCTTTTGTTTGCCACCCTTTTTATTTTACTTCGCTTTTTCCCAGATGAGCAGGCCCCAGAGGTTCTTGCACCAGGGTCATCGGGCGCTAAAATCTGGAGTTTGGGACGATATATTTACCTTTTCGCTGTTTTGACGTTTATCTGTTCGTGTCCGCGTGTAGGTATGTTCCTCCCATGTTGCGCATCGACAAGGTACATATATCCACACATATACATACTCAGCTTGCATTGCCCACCCTACACACCCTTATCATCCCACCCTCGTTTCGATACGTAGTTACATATATACATACGTATCATACATGCATACATACATACATAACCTCGTGCCACCACACCACACGCGCACACCCACACCCACCTCCAACGCCCAGAAGTGTACCACGGGATCGTCCCCGTGGACCCTTGAGGGTGCCTTGACGCGATCCCATTCGCCCGTTTGGTTCCGCTGCCTTTTTTCCCTCCTTGACCGCACCCAAAAGCGAGTGAGTCACCATGCGCTGCGCGTGTCCGCCTGAGCAGCTCGAGGTGGGTTTTGTATGTATGTGTCCACTCGGCACTGTGTCAGGGTGTGCAGTGCCAGTGTGTGAGTGGGTACCTATATCTGTCAAACACAGTCACGCTCGCGCTCGCGCCGAGGCGTCCGTCCGATCTTCTTGTTGTTGTGGAGTTCTAGGAAAGTAAAATAGAGGGCTGCCTGGCTGTGAACTGTGATCTGCCTTGCCTTGCCCCTTTCCCCCCAGGCAGGCTCGCCTTCTTGACCATTCGTGAGCACGGGATTCGTCGGAGTGTCCTCTCCGCCGTGTGGGATCTGCTCAGTCATTGGACAACCTCGTATTGGCGGAATCCTGCTTTCCAACTTCTGGTCACGCCTGGTTGGTTGCCTAATCTGGCTACCGGGGTACTGCACCGGGGTATCAGTTGGTCGATAGGCACCGGTGCTTTCAGCCTTGCCTGACCGGTTTTTATTTTTATAATTCACGTCAACAAACGGCTTCTAGTTACGTGTTCCTTCGTGGCGGGGTGTAAGTACACTTGTGCCGGCATTTGCTTTTAGACATCCTTCAAATGTTTTCAACCTTGGCGGTGTGAACCGCGCTTGTCTGAAAAATGTATGTCGCCTATGTGATGGGCATATTGCTCATCATCCACTCATTGTTCAATTCTATGGCATCAATCCTCGGGAAGAGATGGCGCACCCTGAAACGTCCCGCCTATGCTGTCTCGGCAGGACAACTCGGCAGGACGCAGATTCCCGTTTGTCCCGTCTGCTGCAGAGTTGAGACAATAGGGGTTCTGGTCGAACGGCTCATCGCCCAGCTGCAGAGACCCTCCCTTCTTCTCGTCTGTTCTCCGTCCGTTCCCCCTCCCTTGGGCGGCAACTTGGGCTCAAAACTCGCCAAATACCAACGAATCCCCTCTCACGATCCGAACTACCGCGACTCAGAGCGCAATCTAAATCTCGACGCATAACCCCAGGATCATCCCCGACACGATGTCTATACAGCTGGGCTGGCTGGCGCAAAGCGCAACCGAGCCGGGACGAACCAAGCATTTTCTACCTAAATCTGGTTGGCGCCGCGTTCCGCGCGCGGCGGAAGGCAATGGCTGGGCTATCCCGCCCACATATCTCCCCGCGATATCCAGGCCAGGACTTGACCTGGTGTCTTGCCAGCGAAGCGGCCACGGGACTAGTTAGTGTTCATCCGGCGTGTCGTAGCAGAGTGCTTGCTGCACCTAGACTGTCGTAGTTTGGCCTTGGGACCCCTATTACCATCATGCCATCTATTTACGGGTGGCTGGGATGTGGAACTTCCTGTTTCCCTTGGGACAACTGACTGACTGACAGACAGATTCCCGTTCTTGCACTGATCATGGACACATCTTAGCACCCCAGCCGCAAGCGCCGTTCCTAGCCCGGGCGCCGACACTGCCGGACTGGATGACGAGCAGGTTTTCTCTCTCCCGCGCAACTTGTTTCATCGTAGACTGTCGTCCAATGACGAGAGACCCGCAACCACAGCTGCGCATCTGCATTTATTAAACCCTCATGCCCGATGATCAGATGTCAGGCTAGCAGAACACGCTGGTGAGTTATGTGCACGATCCCGGCCCCCCCCGGGACGGGCGGGAGACGCACAGTCTGCCGCTCCTACCTTAGATACACCAGACCTTCGTGTGAGCCGCTAGCCTCCGAGACGGGAGTAGCTTGTTTTCTACCCCAGCTGTTCTGTTCTGGTACTTGGCAGCTTGGTTTGCGATTTTCTTGGGCCGGAACGGCCGCTATGCCCCCTTGGGGTAAGGTGGCGCGCCTGGGGGCGGTCATGTGGGCGGGCTTTGGCGTTTTGCATGTAGCTGGATAGGTACCTCCTCCGTACATAGTAGTAGTGTTACTGATCGGTGCATCCGCGTCGTTTTCTTGGCTCGGATCCAGGCCGCGATAATCGAATGGGTGGTGGTGGTGGTGGTCTACGTAGACGTTTCGTCTGTACCACCTGGGCATCGGTTTCAGAATGGCCGAGTGGCTTTCTTGCTGGGGACTCTGGGCACCTTTTTCTTTTTCGTGGCGAGACCCTTCCAGAATAGAGTGGATGGAGGGTTAGGAAACACTTGTTCGGTAGGTGTGCGCCTCTTTCATCGCTGTGTGGCCGCCGGAACTCGCGGGCCTGTTCCAATTCGTCATCGACTTCATAAGGGCCTTGGTGCACATAGATGCCCACCATCTTTAAGCCGATCTTCTGACCGGTTTGCGTGTTATGATAATGTTTAAAACTTTAATCTTCTAGGGCTTCAAACGTTGTGGCTGTCTGCTCGGTCCCGAGGTGAGTTCGAAGTGCTTCTGCGCGAGGATGGTGTCGAGACTAATTGCCTACCTCCTCGTGTTGTCGACTCTAGACAACGATCAACATGTATTGGGGGGGGATCATTTGGAATCGAGGCCACGTAATTCCGACAAACTGAGTCCCAACTGAGGTTCTCTGGGCTCAGCTGGGCTTGAGGATGTGATATTTGCCACTGATTCCTGGCATTTGGTCGAAAGGCTGATGTGCTTGATTGGTGATCGAGGCCTCCGTTTGAAGCAACTTCTCACTCGCGTCGTTCTCTTTGTCAAGCACCTATCGAGCAGCTGTTTCAATCATGCACCTATTTTTTCGCTATAGAGGTGCTCGCTTCTCGCTGCTGTGATGAGCACATCTTGCACCAGGTGCCACATCGATCATCACAATCACAATATGCCGTGCATCAAAGCTTGCGCCAATATCACAGGGTTGTTGATTGAGGTGAGAATTCCAGACCGCCACAATATTATGTGAGAGTAGCCAAGCTGACGCCTTGTCAGCGGCCACTCTATACAGATTGTGACACCCCTCAAATCAAGTACCAGCTCGCTTGTTCCAAGTCTCTTCTGACTCCAAATCCCGGAGAACAGTCTTCCGTTGAATCGAAACCAGATTATAAGTTTTGCGTCTACCTAGGTAAGTGAAAAGTTACAGAACCAACCGAGGAGGAGACTGAAACTTTGCACCTGCAAAAAGCAAGTTTATAATTAAATGCCTAGGTGTACGAGCACAGCGCCAAGTGCACGAATCAATGCTCGTCGGCGCCAAAAAATACTACCACCACTATTACCTAGGTACCCTGGTGGTTTGACACTTTCCGTTTCGCCTATACATCGGATAAGATAATCTTCTATTGGATGAACTTCTAATGATAACCTCCTGTAGGATAACCTCCTGTAGGATAACCTCCTGTAGGATAGCCTCCTCCGAGATAACCGGTTTGGTGCCAACCTGGGAACTTTGATCTCCAAGTCGCCCAGAATACCCAGGTGGGTACAACATCTGTTTTTGTAGGTGTGGATCTCTGGTCTCATGAGAACAAGTCGTGAAGAAGGTATCATGCAGTGGTAGGGAAGTCCAAAGCGGACACTATGCACAAGTCACATATGGTTGATGCTTTTGTTCTTCGAGCCTTTCAGGATTCTCCCCCTTGAGGCCTGGAGAGAAAATTAAAGCAATGCACAGCTCAATTGCGTGGATCCAGTCGAAAAGCGACGCGGGTAATTTTGCCAGTTGCTTGCGGTGTTCGCAATGATTTACCTGGGTAGAAATCAAGGTCTGGTCCGGATGGCGATCAATATCATTACGAACCAGATGAAAAATAAGTTCCTCCTGGCTGTGCACGATTACAACTTCAACTCTTCACGATTCTGCTCGCTCAGTCCACCGACCTTCCCAGTCGTTGCTTCCGGAAATACCTCACACCGTCCCCAGGTAGGAAGCTCCCTGAAGGCGCCCGGTATGGACAAAGATTGAGCCGAGACACCAACGGCGAGGGCAAAGTCACCCGTGATGGGTATGTCTTGCGTGTCCTGGTTCGCGCAACAATCAGCCGATGTAGCAAGTCCCGGCCGTGTTCCCACAGAGACTTACCTTGACCACTCTCCATGAGAGATTCTCCTTGAGATACGCTACGACAGCCGCCGTGTTGCCGATATCCACCTGTCGCTCTCCCAGAGCCTCGTTCAGGGGCACGGAGCCGGTGACGAGGATGCCTTCCTCGGCTTGGGCGACGCAGTTGGCGCAGTTCTCCCGGGAACGGTTGGACAGCATCGTCACCGTCCCGATGCGGTTTTCTGAGAGGAGCCAGTCTGCCGACGAGGCGGGGACCTTGCCCAGGAAGACGTGGATCCCCCAGGTCCCTGTCAGCGCGAAATTCTTCACCCGCAGGAATACATTCCACTGTTTGATTTCATGGCTGTCTCTGGTAATATTTTCCTTCGTGGAAGAGGCTTCAATGGGTTTGCCACTTGTTGGGGCAATACCCACGAGCTTATGCGCCGTCGGCTGGAGTGACGAAGGGGCATAAAGCTTGTAGACCTGCTGCGTGACATATGCCTTCATCTGGTCGGGCTTCTTCAAAAGGTCCAGCGGTGTCTCCGGGTAGTAATACCCGCCGTCAAACGTGCTGATCAACTCCTTCGTGTCGTTGGCGACATAATAATCGCCCATGGAGTGCGCCGAGCCCCTGTGCCACGGCTCGAGGCTCGACTTGCCGCCCTCCATAGCACCGTTCCGCATCACGAACCGGTCCATCAGGGAGGGGTACTCGTCAATGGTGCAGTTGGGGTTCACGGCCTGCCAGAGGGCCGTGAGCCGATCGCAGTTGACGTGATGTAGCCAGAAGATCGGGTCGAACGAGCTCGCCTGCACGTCCGTCATATTGCCCCACTGCCCCCCTGCCTCGCTGGCAGTGTTGTTGGTTCCAATGTAGTCGTGAATGGTATTGTGCATCCCCTCCACCGAGCTGTACGCCTTCACTGGCTGCTTGGGTCTCCAGGCCTGGGTTGTGAACTGGTCAAAGTTGGTCACGTTTGTCAGCGCATCGAAGATAGATGTCTTGAATGTCTTGGCGACGGCGGCAATTTGGGCATTGGCGATTTCTGGGTGGTTGTTGCCATTGGCGTCCGGACAGCGCTTGGATGCTTCCCAGGCGGGTGTAGAGGGCCACTGCATCTGGTTTTGCATGGTGGTTTTAGCCCACGGGGATGTGAATCGGTAGGAATAAAGCGGATTGTCTGATAGATGCAGAATCTCCTTTGATCCTGATGTCTTCCCTGGGAAAGTGAGTGTAATATCTGGGGACATAGTCACGGCTGGGAGATGAGGATCAGATGCCCAATCCCAGTACCTGAGATCAATGCGTCAGGGTTCACGGGCAAAATGCAAGACGTTCCCAAGAAGCCAAGAGAGAAAGGTCTTACGGCAGCCGGACGTCTTGGAGTGCCGTCCTGTACGCATCAGCGGCGAAGCCAGTCGCCTTCGAGACAATCTCTTGAGCGTAGGCAAATATAATTTGCTGAGCATGTTAGCGACCACAGAAGGCCTCCATAAAGTTACATTCTTCACAAACCTCATAGAGCATCATGTACGGTCGATGCCACGGAATGAACAGGACACTGCGATGAGTGCAATATCCAACGTTTGCGGCTACCTCGGTCGTGGGATCTTTCTGCCACGCAACATATGGAACTCCGTGTACTCCTGAGAGCCTCTCATCAGGTTTAGGCACGTGAGTGATGTCGTTAATGGGTGTATGCTACTTTACCTGAAACTTGAAAGTAGCTAGTTCCGTTGACGTTGTCCTGATCAAACTTCTCATTGCCATTTTTCTGCCATGCAGAAAGGGCCTTGACGTAGAGCGCGAATGCGAACTCATGCTGGATGCGGAATACATCAATCGGTAGGCGCTGGGCAGGCTTGCCACCAACTACTTTGACGCCGGTGATGGGAGTTGGGGAAGGTATAACCGGAGGCATGCTTTTGTTGGATGACTGCTATGCTGATAAACCTAGGCTCACATAACTGATCTCAATCGTTGATATTGTACGTGGCAACAGAGCTAAGCAGCTATTCAGTCTATGTGGGCAATTTACTCGCATTTACATTGTTGTTCGAGCGTGGCTGACCAAGAGTGAGTATATTAGCATCACTGGAATGTTCTGGTGAGACTGCGGCTGGCCTGGGCGGGCGAGACTGTCTCATCGATTATCTGTCTGAAGCAAAAGTCACGAATATTCCGGTGAGATGCGGAAGAGATGCGGGAGACGTTTCTCGGCCTCCTATAGCCAAGAAAATAGCTGAATTGATCAGAGGCGCAAGCGAGCAGTCACGCCTGAAACAACGGCGGAAATAGAGCTCGCTTACCATTCTAAAGAGCGTCAGGATCTTGATATACGGGGAGCTACTAGAGACCTGTGCACCCGAACACTATTGGCTGCAAGGGGTAGAGGACTTCACAAGGGACCAAGTGGAAGCAGCGTCGTTCTACTAATCCATATCTATATTTAACTCTTTAATATAATATAGTATAATATAAGAAATAAATAAATAAATAAATAAATAAATAAATAAATAAATAAATAAATAAGTAAATAAATAAATAAATAAATAAATAAATAAATAAATAAATAAATAAATAAATAAATAAATAAATAAATAAATAAATAAATAAATAAATAAATAAATAAATAAATAAATAAATATATAAATAAATAAATAAATAAATAAATAAATTTTAAATTAAATAAATTTTAATTAAATCTTTATTTTAAAATAATACTTATAATTTATAATAAAAAGTTTAAATTATTTATAAAGAATTATAAATTTAAAAATAAAGTTATTTAAGAAATAATATAAAAGAAGTAATAAAGTTATAATTTTATATTATAAAAAATATAAAGGTTATTTAACTTTTTATTTAAATCTTTATTTAAATCTTTATTTAAATCTTTATTTTATTTTATTTTATTTTTTAGATAAGATAGGATGATAGAGAAGAGGAGGAGAAGGAAGTCGGAAGGAGGAGGAGGGAGTAGGAGGGAGGAAGAGGGAGGAGGAGGGAGGAGGAGAGAGGAGGAGGGAGTAGGAGGGAGGAAGAGGGAGGAGGAGGGAGGAGGAGAGAGGAGGAGGGAGTAGGAGGGAGGAAGAGGAGGAGGAGGGAGGAGGGAGGAGGGGGGAGGAGGAGGGAGGAGGGGGGAGGAAGAGGGAGGAGGATGGAGGATGGAGGAGGAGGGAGGAGGGAGGAGGGAGGAGGAGGAGGGAGGAGGAGGAGGGAGGAGGAGGGAGATAGCCCCTATTTTTATACTTAAACCCACTACATTACACCCACTAAATTTTATAGTATAATATAGTGGAATTTAAAGTAGCTTTTATATAATATATATAGTGTGGTTTTACTTCTATTTTATATATATCTAAGGATATATATAGCGCCTTTATATAGTGTAATATAATGTATATAATGTAGATATTTATATATACTTAGTGTAATGTAGTGTATTGAGTGTAGTGTATGGCCACCCTGCTTGTCTCTAATACTCTAGCCAAACAGATCATGATCCATGATGATGTCTCAAGCCATGAACGGAAGGCCTCTCTTTGCCGTCTTCAGACTGTCGCATGGAATGTCGGAGATCAAAGCAAATGGGCTGACCACAAGGTCATGGTACCAGTACACCTGTTGTTGGGGCTCAGGCGTCAGATTCGGAAGAGCGTCCACACTCTGATTTGTCTTCAAGACCGTGTACTGTGTTTGGTAACTAGGAGTGTCACTGTTAGAAAGTGGTCAAATGCATTGCGGTCAGGGACATATTCACTAGAGCTGAGAGCAGTTGTTTATGGGCGCAGGGTAAGTCTGTTCCATGCGGCCCCACGATTCATAGGTCGTTGCTGTTTCATTGTTGGACGCAACGAATGTCTTGTTGGGGAAGTGCTGCATTTTTCATGATCAGCTCAAGTTTAGTCACCAGCGGTCCACTCACAGTGATCAGAGACCTACCACCAGCTCTCTGCCGTTGACAAGGAAGGCATCCTTGCATTTCTGGATTCCAGCGGCACCAACGCAGTGAATATTCTCGGTCGTCTGCATGCCATCTGCGGGGAAGTAGTCGGTATAGCCAGTTGTGACGCTGCCGTCCTCGGCTGCGTTGACGAGACTGCGGTTGCCAGTCAGCTATGTCAATTATGGATTTGAAGGTACAAGACTCCGAGTCCACTTACGCCTCGAGGAATGGCTTGACCTCTGCCGGGAGTCCGGGCTGCGGGTCGTAGTCCGCGAAGTTGATCGCCGCGGCCAGCTGCGCTGTGGCGAGGAAAAGTGTTGCGGCGAGCATGGTGAGTCGTGCAGGCAAGTGTCACGTAAAAGTGAAGTAATCGACGAGTGGGATTTCAAAGACAGTGATCGATCTAGAACGGTGGAGGGCGGACTGGCAGAGCTGCGGTTAACATTCCGGTTTGTTTGTCTTTGGGTTTTCATGTTAAATATGCGAGTTTGCCCGTTTGTTTAACGGTCGTAGCCGAAACTCTACCCCCTATCAAAGTGCCACTATTCAGATTGAATGAACAAGGCCCTGGGGGTTTGCTTAGCGTCGTCTACTCAGCTTTGTTTCTATTCATAGCCGACTAAACTGTTTCGGCGAGAAGCGCCGGAACTATCCGGGCTGCAAGGTGCATTGTGTCAAGGCTTGTACGGAATTAGCCAAGATTTGGGCAAGGTATGGAACAGGTTTAGACAGAGATAACATTCGAAGAGTTTGACATACAGCTATTGCCAAGCAAGGTCGTATTAATTAACAATATGCTTGTTGTTGAAGAACCCTCACAGGGCATGTTTATGCTTGAACGGAAACTAATTCTGGCGAAATGGCTTTCATTTTGTGCTCATGCAAGTGCGTTTATGACTGGCTTTCCTTTTCAAATTTCCCATTTCTCCATCTCCCAGCAAACAGGTATTATGAGTATTACACACCGTCAAGAGATACTTAGATCATGGCCTTGACTGCGCCAGCTTCGACACGATACTGGAGACTCCCGCAAAGTTCAGTTCCTCCATGGTCTCTTCCCACAGTCGATCTCGCAGCGCAGAACCTTCTGCAGTATAGTATAGTGCGGGGAATGGTTTGATAGTCCAGTCGCTGACGAAAGATCCGTGGCTCTCCGGGCCCTTGACCACGGCCCCGTCGACGTAGGTGTCCGCGCCCCACTCCAAGCGTCGCCCGACGGTCTTCACGAAGATCTTGAAGGGGAGCGACACCTGAGTCTCCCTTCCTATATCCGTGCTGGCAGTCAAGCCAGGGTTGACTGTGTTGACTATCACCTCGTCGGGATTGACACTCTCAGCAAGCTTCGCGACAAACCCCACGAGTAGGAACTTGGTGGTCGGGTACTGCACGTGGGCGTCAAACTTGGCCGGGGCGGCGAGCCGTGGCAAGATCGCCCCACCGGCGGGATCAAGACTCGCCCAGTATTGCGTGTCGGAGCCGATAACACTCAGCCTCGCCGGTTTGCCGGGTGCCCGCCTCTCCGATAGTACCGGAAGCAACAAGATTGACAGTAGTGCCGTCGATAGGTAGTTGACCTGGAACGTGTTGTCGTACCCCGTGTGCTCGTTCCTGGTGAACTGCGCATTCTGCACGCCAGCGTTGAGGATGGCGATGTCCAGCCGCGGCAGCTCGTCCCCGACACACCGCTTGGCGAAGGCGTGGATGGACGCGTACGAGCTCATGTCCAGCAGCCAGACCTCGATCGTGGCCGACGGGTGCTCCTCGCGCAGCGTCACGGCCGCCGCGTCGCCCTTGGCCTGCGACCGCACGGCGAGGATGAGGCGCGAGAGCCCCAGCCCCAGGAGCTGGCGCCCCGTCTCGAAGCCCAGGCCCACATTGGCGCCCGTGATGATGGCTGTCTGGCCGGAGAGGTCTGCGTTGATGGGCTTCGGCCGGCAAAGAAACTGGCGGTACAGGAACCCGATGAAACTGGTCTCCCAGCGGGCGTCTTTCTCCAGGTGCGCAGACATGGTGATGGCGTGAAGGGTTTTAGATTTGTCGGGGATATTCAGCGTGAGGCCATCGTTGAACGACGGCACACAGCCAGAGCCCCTTAAATTGCCCCTCAGCTGATATAGCCGTGTTTGATGACTGATATCTGTGTAGCGGCACCATCGCAGCTCGGGCCCGGGAAGTCTACCAGTACGAGTACCCGTGTGGTCAAGCTCGTCTGTTGTGTAATCGTATTCTACACAAGGTCCGATCTCAAGTCCGGATCGATCCGCAGGATTTGCCAGGGTTGAAACACTGAGCCCTTCGGCCTTCGGGTTGGTCCACACACGTCATGGATTACCAAGCGTCGCTGCAGTGCTAGCTCGGAGTTCCTTGCTTCCTCCGTCCGTATTACTCCACTAGCTGGCTGACTTGTACGCCTTCGAAATTTGTAGGTAAGTTTTAAGAACGAGACCACCGACCAACCACACACGGCAGACTAATCGATCCAGCTCATACCCTTGATCAGGACGGTATCTAGCAAGCCCGCGTGATGCAGGAGCAAGAGACGCATCACATCTGCAGGGCAGCCAGGCCCATACAACCAGCAGAAACAGGACGCATCCGGCATTCGACTACCGAAGTGTTGTGACGAGATGTACAGAGAAGAGTGAATGCTCGTCGGTTGTTGCCGACCCCTGAAGAACATGAGGGCACCGCCATCCTGGAGCGCGACCCGACATACGCATTTCAGGAGGTGTCACAGTGGCTTGACTGACTACGCGTCTCAGGCGACTCCTATTACTTCCCTACCTAGGTACTCATGGCAAGGCGTTCCTGAAGTGGTTCTAGAAATGGGTTCCGATACGTTTGCGCTGAGGCCAAGGGTTCGGTGGCCTTCCCGCTAAAGCCTCAAGAATGATGCTCAGCCACCCATAGTGTTCGCTGCTAAATTCCCTACATGGGGACACTTACTATATCTGTCTAGAACGATACCGAGATACAATGTCTTGTCTTTCTAGGACATTTGCTGTTGTTTCGGCTTAATAGAGGGACTCGAAGAATAAAAGTCGCTCCCTGATCTGTTGGCGGCGTGATGGTATTGATACGTATCAATAGCTGTACTTTGGTGCCCAACACCTACTGAAGTAGGTATTTAGCCTTCCCAGGTGGCCATCTAACCAGATTTCTGACTCTCGAACCATATGGACACTACCCGGTTATTTGATGAGCTAATGTTCGAGGGACAAGATAGAAACCGTCTTACATCCTGGCCTTCTGCCTCTCCACATCCTGCTTGAATTGTCGGGATGTCGGTTTTAGGTTCAACGGTTATCATACCGCAAGGTCTACAGGCGCACATGTTCCATAGCTCATTCATATGTCATCGTCTTCTAAGACGGGAGAGTTTCAGCGATCGATCGAGTGTCCTCGAAGCCTCAACTGAAGGTGTGCAATGGAGACAGCTCTGCCACATGTTGCACAGCAAATTGAGTTAGTCTTGAGGGTTTTTACGGGCACTTGTGACAAACCGATTTCTGCTAGAGGCGATGAGTGCGACAGGGTTGTCCATGACCTGCCGCCTTCAACATGAAATTCGCGTATGACAAATTATCATGATGCTGGAAGGGAGCGAGGAAACTGAAATTACATTGGCCTGCAGTAGCTAGAAATGCAGCTCCTGTATGCTGGGGCACCTATGCGGCTCCTCAATGCACCGAGCCTAACTTGACTGCATGTTGTGCATTGTTGGGCGCAAAAGGAGGCCAAGCTTTGCCTCAACCCAACTTGAATTTCCTTCCTCACCCCCACAAGGCTGCGATAAAATGTAACTGTAGGAGAGAATAATTGACGTTGAAACTCATAATTACCCGATTAGTACCTCGTATTCGCTTTCGACCCAGTCAACGCAAGGCAGTGCAGTGCCGAGTTCATGCCACTCAGTTAATACTGCAGCGCTTTGCGCAGGAGCCAAAAAAACGTTCAAACTCTCTAACAAATGGCGGACATGAAAGATTCGACAAGGCGAAAACGAAAGGGTCTTTGACATGCGGCACTATTGCATTCCGTGGCAAGGCAGATTACGGAATGAACCTGTCCGCTTCCCATGACACCTGTCGGAATGAGGCAGGGCACACCCAATTCGTCGCGAAGATGGGATGCAGGGACCGCAGTTGGGACGAAACGTCATTTTTGACCCGTTCACCAAACAAACACCGCCCGGGAAACCAAGCCTCGATCTCCGCACGTCATTACTATCGGGCGGGCCGGAGCGGAATGCGAAGATATAGCACGGTAGATGAATAGAGCTCCGTGTTGGGAAAAACTGCAACCGTCTTAGGCAGACGATGTCTTGGCGACTTCAGTTCTAGACCTCGGGAGACAGGCTGAATGGACAGCCCCCCTATACCGTGAGAAATATTGTCAACATCAGACTAACGATGATGACGCCCAGGTGCCCCGTATGTTGTGTTGTTACTTGTAGAGTTGGGTTTAAAAGACGTCCATCGCCGCCATGCCTAGACTTTCCGTCCATAGCTTCATCCTCACTCAGCCTTGTCTCCATAATCCTCGAGAATCGACCTCATCATTGGCTTTTGTTCTCAACACCGTTTGCCTGACAACAGTTGGAACACGCATAGTAGTTGTATTTCAACTCCTTGCATAAGCCAAGATGAAGCTTGCAACCAGCACTATCACTTTGCTCCTTTCCATCCTGCTGACCGTCTCAGCTGCTCCAATTCAGTGTGTTTCTCTACCATGGTTGCTACAACCAAACGCGTGAGCCAAAAGCTAATACCCAAACTCACAGGCGAGATGTGTCAGCGCTGGAAGGAGCATCGCCAGAAGGAGTCGTCCCAGTCGTCGGTGCCCGGGACGCCAGTATCGAGGCCGATTCCGAAGCCAGCATGGCCTCTGAGACTGATGGTTCCTTCGGAGACGCCTTGAGTGCCGACGAGGTCTCACAGTACGAGGAGCGCGGCAACCATTGCGATAGGTCGCTTCCAGTTGAGGCTCGCGGCGGCCACCACAACAAGTGCCCCCCACCAGCGGCACCTGCGCCAGTCATCATTGTCCCAGCACCTGCTGCACCGGCGCCTGTGGGAGTGCCTGTCCCCGTCCCAGAGCCTGTGGGAGTGCCTGTGCCAGTACCGGTCCCAGCGCCAGTGGGCGTTCCCGTCCCGGGCGTTCCCGTCACAGTCGTTCCAGCCCCGTACCAGTACGGCGGCCACAAAAAGGCAGACAACTCCACAGAAGAACCCGCTCCGACTGAGGGAAAGAGGCTGGTGTGAGTCGGGAGGACGTGTCTGTAGGAAGGCTGGACAGGACAACAGCACACGGGGGACTCTTCTGAGAAGAGAAGGATCAATGTGAGGGTTGGACAGGCTGGCGGCGATGTCTATGTAATTGTTGCGAGCTAGCGTTGCAAACATTGCGTGTTCTCTTCTTCTGACGATATAGACCCTTTTGATAGTATATACGAGACCACCTATTGTATTAAGTTATTGACTCTGTATTTTATTCCTTGAACCCTAATTAATAGTTAGTATCTTAGAAGGATAGCGCATGATTTTTCGTTCAAGCGTATTAAGTGATAGTCGGGAAATTACGTTGATTCATTGACTGTTCAAGCTGTTTCCTATGACCATCATGTGGTAGCAATAGAATGGAATGAGGCGCAACCACGCTGATTTACTCTGAGCGCACCTTGAACTACCTGGGAATTCAACTCTCAATCCTCCATTGAGGACCGAACCGCATCTTATAGTCGTGATACCAGCACGGCTCGTACAACAGGCCATCCCCCTCATCCTGGTTGCACTCATGGCGGTTCTCCGGCCATGACTGGTAGATATAGCCGGCGTACACAAATATCGGGTATGTATCACCGAATATGTCGACCTTGCAGTTGGGGAATGCCCTGCGCAGCGCCTCGTCGTTGTCCGCGACACCGTTGGAACCTGGGATCTCATCGCTTTCCTCGTCGGTCTTCAGGCCCGACATCTGAATCCCACGGAGCGCCAGGTATCTGAGGCTAGAGAAACGCCCGCTGTGTTCAAGCATGAAACGCAGTACGGACTTGCAGAAGAGCCTATCGCCGCGGTCGGCGGCTGGACCTCGAATGCCCGTGGGCATCCCGTACTCCCTGGACTGGGGCCACGGGTCTCCATCGCCGACGGTATCGCCCGCTTCCTGGGGCATGCGGTGCTCGAGCACAAGCTCCTGGAGCGAACTGGCAGCTGCCTCAAGTAAGAACAGCCATTCCATGCAGAGAATTTGCTCGTAGCGATGGGGTATGTGCGCGAAGTGATCGAAGCAGAACCAATCCCCAGTCTCCCCCGTCGCCGGTTTCACCAGGTGGAGATGTGTGAGCTTCAAAAATGCTCGAGCAAGAGACCTTGGAAGCCAGATGGGGCTGTGTAGGGCCCACGGCAGGTCCTCCTCGTCTTCCCCGTCGTCAGAAACCTCTCCATCCTCTTCGCTCTCTTCGCCGTGAGCTTGAGGAGACCCTGACTGTCCTCCCTCTGCCACCAGTGATCGGGCCTTTGCCTCGGCACCATTCTGCCTGAATGTCTCGGCCTCCTCTTCAGTGACCAGCGTGCGGTTGTCATCGTCCTTCAGCAGCGTATCTTGATAGGCTGCATCGTCAGTAGGCGTTGCCAGCAACCCTAGATTCAGGTGTGTGATATGCTCTGCATTCTGACAGATGTTACGGGCGAGAGCAGCTGGGAAGTATCCTCGCAGCTTGAGGTTTTGGAGATGGGGAAGATTGACTTCCCGTGCCGCAGCCGGGTGACCTCTAGCCAGCGGGAGGCCGACGAGCTCTAGGGAACGCAGGTTTCGGAAGCTTGCGATGACCTCCACCACCTCGTCGTCGACACCCACAGACATACACAGCGAGTGCACGTGCTGGGACAGTTCAGCCCAGCGCTCCTTAGACGCGATCGCCATAGCCCTGACGAACGTTTCCTCTCGGCCGTACTGGAAGTTTCTCCTGTTGAGGTTGTCTGTGGCTCGGGAGGTTACGCCGGGTGGGCAATAATGCCACCTCCGCTTCTTGATTGTCTCGCTCCAGAGCTTAGGATCAAATTCCTGTGAATACTTGCGCGACGAGGGCTCGTAAATGAGCTTCTTGAACGGCCATTCCTCCTCATCCTCGGCCTCCGCCAGGTACGCCTCCACGGACTGCCAAGTCCCATGTTCGACTGACCCGGCCTCGCCGTCTATGTCGATACCCTCGTGCGTGCCGTAGTGGTGCAGCTCAACGTCGCCCCAGACGACCGGCGTGAGCAGTCTGTTCAGGGCCTTGCATGTCCGCGCGAGTGCTGCTTGGTCCGGCCGCAGAAGGGGTGAGGTGATCTCCTGGAAAATCTCGACGGGAATCGCGGTCGATAGCAAAGTCATGGCGGTGACTCTGTCCTAAGACAGGCTATGAATAATGAGCAAGCTTGAAATGAAGTTTATTAGCTTCGGTGCCATTCAGTCTTCCGAATTATGCGCGAGCATCTTAAGTAGTAAGCAATAGATCCCCCGATAACCATATCTTTGCTCCCTAAAGGAGACGTCTGCCTAAGATCACGTCGCATGCTAGCCACTTTCAGGCTAGCACCACCAATATCAACCGCTTCAGCCTAGTTCAATGCTAGGGACCTGTCGACCTAGAACAACAAGCGCGCCAAAGCCGACGACGACGATCATCGACCGATATCACATGCCTTAAACCATTGAAAGTGACTCAGCCAATCTTGAACTGATTGACAATTGTCAAGTTCTACTTATTGTTGTCTTCCTCTATCTAACAACCTTGTTACTGTTAACGTTGTTGCCCTCTAATTTCTGAAGATGCAAAGCTCCCGGTTCTCGTGTTTGCCGTATATGATGTGATGCCATACTCTATATCGCATTGTCCACCTTACTTTAATCCTTAGTAAGGGACTTGTCTTTCAACACTTGTCTTTCAATGTATACTAAAGAGGCTTTTTGAGTAGGAGACTGACTGGTGCCAAAAATGATCAGTGAACGCTTCGCATTTTTATAGGTCTTCACAAATCCAGTCACTTGCTGCCACCCACAATGCTCCGAGTCGTGTTCAGAGGAACATCTCACTTCCATATCCTCATCCCACCCCACTGTTATTCCAAATATGATACTGACCCCTTAAAAGATGTGCCTTTGACGAGACGCCGCCTAAGTGCTGTAGGGTAAAAATGAAAAAGCAAAAGCAAACGCAGCAGCTCTTAGTAGGTTGCAACACCTAGAAGCTGTCACGGTGATGTGTCTGCGCCAGCCCGGAGTCGAACCGGGGGCCCATCGATGGCAACGATGGATTTTACCGCTAAACCACTGGCGCTGTTGGACTTGGTTGTTTGATGAAGATTCTGGCTGACAATCTGGTATCATGTGGGGTGTTTTGCATGTGAAGATGCAGAATCTTTCGCGGCTCCACCGAACACTAGCCCCGTGGTTACATTCCGCCTCAAACATTAATCCACAATTCACGTGTCAAACTTCGTTCCTTCCGATATTGCAAGCTTGAGCGAGACCGTATCATGCAGTTGGAGACATCATTGGAAAATCATCTGTATTAATACTGCCACGCGTTGTCGCATGACCATGATCATGACAATTTTTTTGGGGCCTACTCCCTTGGAGAGGACTTCGAGATGGCTGTACTAGCGTAATTCGTTTATTCCCCCCTCTGTTGGTGTAGGAAGGTCTGCGAACTGAGTCTTGGTGTACACTCCGTTTTACTGGTGTGAATCTCCTATCTCTATTTAAATGTGACTTCTGACGAGTTCATATCTCAGTGTTCGACTGTCCAAAGGCACCCTTTGGGTCTTGCGGAAACTTTTGCCACTCGCAGATCTAACTTTGAAAGATTAGGCCCTCCAAGCCCACGAAAATCACAGAAATAAAACACACACTGTGGAGATCTGACTAAATCATTCAACCGACATCGATCGAGAAATCCTCATGGGGAGCAAGACATGGATGCTGGGCCTTGGTCTCGACCGAGAAGAGACGATGGTGATCGTCGAACGAAGCTCCTGTAATCCCAGTTTGTTAAAGAAAGAGATGAAGCGTCACTACTTTCAATCTTTGGTACTCTGACATTCAAATGTCAGTCAGATTTTCTGACGTATATCCTAGCCCCACCAAAAATCTCATCGTGCAACGTCCCAGTTTCTTCATATATCCGCTGAATCAACTTGCGCAAGCGAGGAGATTCCGGATCAGCTCTGGATGTGGCATTTACCGTTAGCTTTAGGACCCTCACCACGTAGTCGTCATCGACTTACAACATAGCCTCGAGCTCCTCAATATTTGCCCAAACTCGAGGGTAGAGCCGCTCAGACCAAGTATCAAGCATTTCCTGCTCCCCGAGAACTTTGTCGAAGATTAAAACAGCGGGCCGAGCAAGGTCAGTGACCACGTATCGTTCATAATCATCCTTGCCAAGGTAGAGAAAGAGCCCTTTCACCTCCTTGGACTCGGCTTGACTCTCAGCGCATGGGCCCTCTTCACATTCTGATTGTGTGCCCATGTTACTGAGTCTCGACAAGTTCCTCAGACAACGAGAAATGGAGGATAGGAGGTTGGTAATCGATCCTGAGCTCGGTGTGCAACACGCGGTGACAATTCTCGCACTCTGCCTTCCAGGGCTGGGCGCAGAAGCTATTGCGTAACAATAAGAATGACTGGCGACTTGTGATCGATGTAGCAGGGGCACCCGGGGGGTCCTCAGGGAATAGATAGGAGAGCCTGGACGCGATGAATGGCCAGTTCTAGCAAGTGAAGGTAGTGCGGTGTTGGATGATTAATCGATACCCCTCATTGACACTGTTGGACACATTCAGGATTTGATCAACACCCCGCCACATGAATTTCTAGGTTTTGTTGCATGCTCCACCGCTTTAAAGATACTTGCACGTCGGATAAAGATGATGCAGAACGGTACCAACATTTATTATGTTATTCGTCCACATATCATCCATTTGACTCAATTTCTTGGCTGTGAAGCAAGAGTGGGAATGTTGGAGACGCATAGAACAGACGACATTGAGACTGGGGTTTGTTAACTACACCACTGCTTGTGTAAGTGCACCTTTGAAGTGTCTTCTCCATGTTACGATTGATTGGCGTGCAATAAGCGTCGGCGACGGGAACATGTACATGAGTTGCTTTGGAGGCATGTGCGTTTGGAAGTAATCAAACAAGAGGGGAAGAGATGCAGTTTATCCTTGCAGATAGTATATGCATTTCAGTGAGGATTACCTTCGAACTCAACTGCATTTCCGCTACGTCGTCCACGATGGCCTTCTTGCAGAAATCGGTATACACGAAAGACGGTGTTTATGAGCTTTCTGAGCCCCACGTTAGTGGGGTTGGCTTCGGACGGGTGGTGATCGGGCTTTATCGCCAATAAGATGTATGACGACCAGCAGTTGGAGCGCGAGATGTTATTCAGATCCTCTTGTGACAACCATGCCGGCGAAAGGGAAGATTTACAGACGTAGGATCCCACACTCGACCGAGAACACGAAGCCAGTATCTTGATAGCTCGATACTAATGAAGCCCGCAGGCCCACTGAGTGATGAATAGCCTCCCCATACACACCCGCGGCATTCTCCTCGATACTGATATTGGATGCTGAGAATTACACGACAGGATAACACGGTCTAATAAGCGTCCTCGGCATTCTCCATCATGGGTGGTAAGCGCACGTGGGAGCCCGAGTCCCGAAGGATTAGGCGGGGCGCAGTCTCATTGCGTGGTATTATGCACTCAGGCACTACCAGATGCCAAGCATTCATTTCGGGAGTTTCCACTGTTTTTTTAGGCAGCCTAGAAAAGCTCACCTCCTATAGGCTGGTAATTTCTTATAACCCCTATATGATGCCCGCTCCCGGGAAGGGAGTAGTAGGAGTCTTCCCTATACCTTGATGTGGTATGGTTGAGTTCCATTTGGCTTATGCCCAGCAGCCCAGAACGGACTGAAAACGGTTACGCTAAGTTAGGAGGTATCCACCTTGCGCGTAATGGTCCAGTAGGGGGATTCTATTTATGCTTGGCGCTACCTCGGACTTCAAGGTAAGGAAAAAGAGTTTTCTTTTTGCGAAGGACGGCCGAGTGCCAGAAGGATTCAATAGAAGGCTGCCTGGACGATCTAGATCTGTTTAACCGTTCCCCGGATCTCCAGTTCAGGCCGGAGTGTCCCGAAAGGATCAATTGATGCAATAAGCTCGTGTAGTCCACTGCTGCTCCCAAATTTATATTGGCCACATGAACTATATATAAGATCAAGTGTCGTAACCAACTTGTTCCCGGCGACTCGATTCACTCCACTCTGCCCATCTCGTCACTCACCAACGCGCTTGTTTATAATCCTCGCCGCCATGGGTTTCAAAGGTCAAATCGCTGCCATTATTCTGGCTTTGAGTCTGGAGGTCTCTCCAGCGGCCGCCGCTTTCAACTTGAAACGGACCTACAGCGGCTCGAACTTCCTGGACCAATTTTACTTTAGAGACGTGAGTGACCACAACTGAGCTGAATGAGTGCGACCTGAAACTAAACATACTGACATATCCTAGACAGCCTACTTTCACAGCATAGGCATTGAGTCCGGAGACCCAACAGATGGCTTCGTCGATTATCAGTCACAGTCAGCCGCCGCGTCCAAAGGTCTGACAAAAGTCCAGTCTAACGGCCAAGTTTATCTTGGCGTGGACTACACCACCAAGCATGCAACCTCAGACCAAGGCAGGGCTTCGGTCCGCCTGGAGTCTAAGGAAACGTTTGGCCCAGGTTCTCTCCTGGTAGCAGACATTGCGCACATGCCAGCCAATGGATGCGCCATCTGGCCCGCCTTCTGGTCGTACAACTTTGGCGAGAACCCCATGGGTGAGATCGACATTATCGAGGGAGGCGGCGCCGCCGGGCTGCAAGACAAGAACATTGTGTCGCTGCACACGTGCAGTGCGTGCCGATTCACCAACATTGGAGGCTCAGAGGAAAGGCCAAACTGTGCTCTTGGCGGTGACTGCAGCGACAGCGCTACGAACTGGTAAGTAGAAGTTTGATGTATAACGATGACTGATATTTTTGACCGAGAAGCTAACGGAATATCGATAGGGACGGCTGCGGCTCAACAGGAAACTCCCAGTCATACGGTGACGCCTTCAACGCGGCAGGCGGCGGCGTGTACGCCACATACCTGCAGGACAACCGCCTGCGCATCTGGTCGTGGCCCAAGGCCTCCGTGCCCGCCGACCTGACCAGCGGGTCCCCCAACCCGGAGAGCTGGGGCACGGCGTCCTCGGACTTCAAGACGTCCAACGGCGGCTGCAACATCGGCGACAACTTCCAGGAGCAGACCATCATCATCAACACGGACTTTTGCGGCGCCATGATCGACGACGGCACCTGGAAGGCCGTCTCGTCCTGCAGCAGCCAGGAGAGCACGTGCCGTGCGTTCGCGGCGGGACACCCTGACGCCTTCAAGAATGCGTACTGGTTGTTCAACTCGATCAAGCTGTACGAGTCGACGGGCACTGACCAGAAGGTCAGCGTCGACGGGAACTGTGCGGGCGTGACTGCGCAGACGTGTCAGGGGTCGACGTTTGGTAACTGTTGCAGCCAGTACGGATACTGCGGGTCTACGTCTGCGTATTGTGGGACTGGTTGCCAGCCAGGGTTCGGAACATGCTCGTAAGCAAGCATATGTAGACGGAAAACATTGTAAATAATTGTTGCATATTAATATACACATACTGGTACTTAATAAAACGCAAGTTCACAGCATTTTCAGTCAACGTGTTACATATTTTGCAGCGCATACCGTGTCTACCACGTCTAACTGGTTCCATTCCCCGTCCTTATACATCCTGGAGGCACATGCGGTCCCTTCATAGAGTGATAAATGTTCGAAGGTCCCACGTAAAAAGTTAAAATGGCTATGAAAGTGCAGGAAGACAAGGTTGGTAGGCATGTGGCCTCAGCCTTTCGGCGCGCAGACAACCTTGGAAGGTTAGGTAGCAACAGTTCTAACGCCGCCGTCGGCTTGAATCATCAACAAAAGTAGCTTGAGCCTCCAGCTATCCCACATCTAAACCTAAACTTAAGAGATCAAAGATTCACACCCGCAAAAACAAAAGGTATACCTATGCAGATAAGTTAGAGGTGAAAGTACTTGTTTGAATTGTACTAAACGCCCAACGGCGCGAGTCTTGCGTCCACAGCCTGAGGTGTCTTGTAACAGATTTACTCTTCTTAGATGAGGTCACTTTATGTCAATATTTGCAGCAAGTTTGCCTAATAACCCACCGCTAATGAGACATCTACTGTCAATTTGTCGTGGCCCGTTCAGCGTTTCACATCTTATTCTAACCTCGTATTACATGGATTCATTGTTTGTTAAGAAAAGGCGGCAAAACTTAGAATTTGCTCACTCCCCCCTTGCAACGGTTTCATCGGTTCCTCCTCAATATCGGGGAACGAATTCCGAAAAGTCGCCAATGCAGGCAACCTTGGTCATCCAAGGGCATGCCGATGCCAAAACACGTACGGCATCCAGCGCCGCCCTCTGGTCGGCTGCGATGCGATGTATTGCTTCATATTGCGCGGCCCCGCGGCTAGGAAGAACTTTTGCCACTTGCTTTTCAAGCTGGACCGCCGCATCGTCGCACGCAGCCCGAACGGCCGAGGCATTCGTCCAGTCCATACCAGGCTTCCCAATCATCACAGGCGTCATCCCGTTAAAGGCACAAGGCTGCCTTCTCATCATTCCCTTCGGGTTGCTCAGCATGTCTACGCTGATGATAAGCCCCGGACGCTGACTCCACGCTTGCGGTGACGCTTCGAAGGACAAGTGCACACCAGTGACGTGGCGCAACGTGCCAGAAGCCCGCGAGCGAGATTTACCGCGATACAGAGCAATGGCCTTTTTGACGGACTTGACCCAGTCTCCAGGGACTTTTGACGACTGGAGCTCGAGCTTGATTGGCTTCTCGAAGCAGATTGGAAGTGCTTCGGCGCGGAGTTGCCTGCTCACACGCGTGATGGCTGGCTGTTCATTAAGTTTGTGGAAATAGCCATCGAAAAATTCCCCAGCCATTAGACGGTATATCTTCTTCCTGACTTCTCCTGGTAGTCGGAGGAAAGGAAAATGGCGCTGGTAAAAGCTGGTTGTTACTAGACGACCAAGGATAACAAGGACGGCATGTGGCACAGCTTACCCTGTTCTTCTTGGTCGTCTTAACCATATGTCTTCCTGCTTCTGCGCTGTCCTGCTTACTCTTCTTGATGCTATGATTACGCGCCCCGGCGTCGTCCTGCCTGGTCCTCTTAACGCCATGTGTCCGCGCCCCGGCATCGTCCTGCTTGAGTCTGGGTAAATAGCGGTCGATTGTATTGGTTTGGGCCATCTTGTATCGTGCAAAAATTGGTTTGTATCGGAAATAGAGAGTGGGGGTGAATGTTTGTAGCTTGTGCTTCTATATATTGGAGGACGCGTGCGTAAGTGGATCGCGTTGTTTATGTCGCGGGTTCGGGGATGCCGATTGATTACCGCGAGGGTCAATCCTCGATCGCCCCGCAATGTCTGGCTTGCAGCCATTGAGTGAGTTGCGGTGTGGACGTTGTACGGATGTCCCGTGGGTCTTGGTTCTTCTCACCGACTACAAGTGGAGTCATCTAGACGAACTGGTTGGTGCTGATGTTAAGCGATCTTCGAAATGGTAACTAAATGGCCTCAGATACTACCTAGACAAGAGTCAAAGGTGACCACTCAGGCTGTATACCTTCTCTCCACAGCTCACCATACATGATTCCATGAACATGAGATCGGATATTCGCACCCGCAAAAATAGAGGGTACACCTAAGCCCAAGGAATAAACTCCTACAAGATAGCCTCCTATAAGATAACCTCCTATAGAATAACCTCCTCTAGGATAACCTTCTTTAAGATAATATCCTATAGGATAAGCCTATGAGATACTAGTTTAGTATTAAACTAAGTATTTTAATCTTTAAGTTACCTAGTATAGGTGTGCCCTTCATTTTTATAGGTGCGAATATCCGGTCTCATGAACATAAGCCTCGCCCACTCACTTGTATTCGACACAGTAATCCATCTTCCTGAACACGAACGGTTCTGGAGATGCTGGTAAAAACATAATCTCGTCGCCAGTCTGAGGTGTTATTGGCACGATCCCAATGTACCCCTTAGTAGTTGACAGGAAAGCCTGTCGGTCAGCGGTCATCGTGAATTTGAAAGCTTTATCCTCCGGTATTTGGATAGATCCGAGGTCTTCCAATTCGTTGCAGAGCTCAATATAGGTTGGGAAAGCTGTTATACCACGCGCTTCGAAATCATCAAGTAGGCGACTAAAAGTAGACCCTGGGGCTAGTAATTCATCGGCTGATATACACCCTCGGCTAGCCGCGAGGTAGAAGAATTGGGTAAACTTTTCCCGGAATTTGTCACAAGCTGTTCCGTAATCATACTCCCGCGTACCGTTCGCTGTGATAGAATGAATCATGGACAGGATTGCTAGTCCTCCGCCTGGAGATTGCAGAGGCCATAGCTGAAGAAGGCGGATTGAACCTTGGTGCTGTTCGAAGAATGAGAAAGCTTGACAGCTTCATCAAAGAATCAAACAGGCTCAATCACCATCTCCTCCATAAGTCCATGCCCTAACTGTCACTTTGACAAGACGCTGCTTCCCCGTACCGAATGCTCTACAGTGTTCAGCTGATACCTATGTCTCAAGTGTCCTTCAACCGCAAGGTCTCTCAACAAATACATATCAGTCATCTCGGCGTCACCGTGCCCGCTGGCACCTTCATCTCCACACCGGCCTACTGGGCAGCGCGGGATCCGTCACTCTACCCGGCAGACCAGAGCGAGAACGGATTCGACCCCTGGCGCTGGTTACGGCTCCGGGAGGCCGCCGGGAAGGACGGCCGCAGCCCCGTCTCATTCATGGCCAGTAGTACCAGCCCGGTCAACCCAACTGGGGTTACGGGCGCAACGCATGCCCGGGACGCCTCATGGCCACCGCTCAGATGAAGGTGATCCTGGCTTGGGTCCTGCAGTAATTCGACATCTCGTTCCCCGCCAAGCAAGGGACATGCCCGACCTCAGCCCGTGTTTTTGGACGAGCGCGTCATGCCAGACCCGACCCAGGTGATTGGGTTTCGGCTGCGGCGCAAGGACACTGGTCAGCCCCGGAGTGCTGGTAGCGCGGGCAAGGATGGAGTCTCTACTGAAGTACCTAGCATAAGGACTTACGCAAAGTGGTACTATTGTGACGCACAGGGTCGATAGTGCTGACCTGTTGGGAAAGCGGGTACACAGTGTTATCTCATGGCACAGCAATTGGGGTCGCCGCCTGAACGGCCTGGCAACGGAAGTACGAATCCAAATCTGAGAGATCAGACATCACGTAGAATTCAAAGTAGCTAAACGTTACATTTACCGGGGCTCATAATATTATTTTGTAGTTTTAGATCTTTTGCAATATTTCCTTCCAGTCATTTCGCCAAGTTCCAACACTGGCCCTGCAACATTGGTGCATTTGAGTTAAAATCAACAAGACGGGAATACATGCAGTCCTTTTGGAAATTTCCTCTCTATCACTGCAAACCGCCAGGGCCAGCCAAGGGATTCCCACGTTACATGCCTACTTTTCAAATATGGCGCCACAGCTCATATTCGGTACTGTCACCTTCGGGATGGAGATGACGGATTTTCAAGCTCCCGACTCCGTCAAGCCACTCCTCCAAGCCCTCACCAAGCTTGGCATCGATCGCCTCGATACAGCAGCCCGGTATCCGCCGCTAAACCCAGGCCGCTCGGAGCAGCTAATCGGGGAGAGCGAGCTGCCAGCCGGATTCATCGTTGACACCAAGGTCTATACTGACACGCGCGGCGATGGAAGCGGAGACCTGACCCCTGAGGCTATCGACAAGTCTGTAAATGCCAGCCTGGAGAGACTAGGCAATGCCACACATGTACTTATCTTCGTTCATTCCTGTGCCATCTGCCTTTCTTTGCTCCTCTAACTTGATATCTCAAGGTGAATATCCTCTATGCACACCGTCCAGACCCAGCAACGCCGTTGGAGGACCAGATACAGGCATTTCTTCATCAAATCGCAGCGAAGCGGTGCCGCGCTGTAAGTCGTGATTACTTTTAGAGATACTTGAAATGCTCTCTAACTAGAATTCTTTGACGTAGTGGGGTGTTTCCAATTTCTCCCCCGAGCTCTTGGAGAAGGTCTTAGGCGTCTGTGAGCAGAACGGCTGGCAGAAGCCGACAACCTACCAGGGAACTTACAACATGGCTACCAGAGGGATGGAAACTAAATTGTTGCCCATACTTCGCACTCATGGGATGCAGTTCGTCGGATATCAGTACGTAAACCCATAGAACAACCCTTGCAAGCGTCGGAAAAATGAAGCGCAATGTCCACTGACTTTTCTCACACGGGGCAGATCCCTCGCAGCTGGTTTCCTGACCGGCAAGCTCGTGAAGAACGAGCACGAGGGAACGCGGGCAGATGACAAACACCCCCTAGGAAAGGCTATTCAGCGTATCTTTGGAGACCAAAACCTGCAGGCTTCTATGCAGCGGTTCATGGACGCGGCGGAAGCAGAAAGCCTGACGCCAAACGACGTCGCTGTTCGCTGGGTCGTGCATCATTCGGCGCTGGATGACAAGGATGCACTCATCTTGGGGGCAAGTAAAATATCGCAAATTCAGGAAAGCGTAGGGTCCATTAGAAAAGGACCTCTTCCGGCGCACTTGGTAAAGGCAGCGGATGAGATGTGGGAGTCTGTGAAACAGGCCAGGGGCAACATGCTGTAGGACAATTTGAATCTTAGACTTGTTGCAGTTCTCACCGCAATTCAGTGGGCACATGCAAATACAGCGGAGGCGAGACCACTTCAATTCCTAGGTCATGCCGCGTTGGCTGTAAATTAAGCGCTTTCGATGCACGTGGTGGGCGTATTTAGGAAGGTATGTACTACTTAGTAATTAATCTGCACGTGTTGGTTGGGACAATTACATGAGTGCATTTCTCAAGTTGTACAAATACGACAAGGTCTGATCATCCTGAATCCTGCAAGTCGCCTCCCCTTCGCTTTTTTCCTCACTGGCCGCGTTCATCTGGGGTTGAGCATTCCGCCACCGAGCCCACAGAAAGCGTTCTGAGTCCTTTTCACCGGCAGCAATTATGGCGCCCAGTTCATATTTCGGCTATTGGCGACGCAAGGCCATGATCGTTGCCCTTCGCATTTCCACCCTCTACAGTGCCCGCGAGCCGCTGCGCCGCGACAACGAGCTTGCAGAGGCCAACTATGGCATACATCAAGAGCGACTGCTCATCCCGTCGCATGATGCAGGGCGTCACATCGTCGCCAGCCTCTACACCCCGCCCCCGCCGGTTGAATCACCCTCAGTTACCGAGCAGACACCTCTTCCGGTGCTCGTCAACTGGCATGGCAGTGGCTTCTGCCTGACTGGACTCCTGGGGAGCAACGTGCTCTTCGCCGCACGAGTGGCCCAGGAACTGCAAATCAACGTCTTGGACGTGGACTATCGGAAGGCACCTGAGCACTCCTTCCCAGCCGCCATTAACGACGTCGAGGACGCCCTCCGCTGGATCGGATCTGGCGAGAACAGCAAGCGATTCGACGTTTCCCGAGTTGCCGTGTCAGGCTTCAGCTCGGGTGGCAACCTTGCTCTCGTCGCTGCATCGTCGTTCCGGGACCGTCTCCAGGCCGGCGGGGTCAACATCACCGCCGCGGTGGTCATGTACCCAGGAACGGACCTGGTCACCCCGGCCGAGGACAAGCAGCCGCCCACGGACGGAATCTATCCCATGGACCCGGCAACTCTGAATCTCTTCACCGACTGCTATGTCCCAGACAAGAGCAAGCGCGCGGATCCACGCGCGTCGCCGGATAGGGCCGGTCTAGAGTTATATCCGCAGACGGTAGCAATCCTGACCTGTGAGGGAGACCGGCTCGCACCTGAAGGGATTGTGTTGGCAGAGAGATTGTCAAAGGATCCGCAGAGGACAGTAATCAACGAGATGATTCTCGGGGTACCACAGTAAGCCACCTTATCGTTCTCGCCATTGTTTTAGTACCGCTGTGGAATTGTCCACTCGGGGAAGCATCGTCATTGAGACTTTACATCTCTGTCGCGCTTCACTCGTCTGCACCCGTCCAACCTTGGCTCAAATCATGACTGACTCGAGATACCACAGCGGATTCGATACTGGAGCTGAAGAGGGAACTCTGCTAGGGGAGAGGCGAGAGGAGATGTATGCCTTGGCTGTGAAGACGCTCAAGGAGGCTCTACTATAGGTACCTACTGCTTTAATTCCAGACAATCGTAATGGATTGTCTTCTTGTTCAATTCTACACCACAAAAACTATCTGTAGCAAGGAAAAATGAAGAAGTAAGAGAAGATGGGAAGTAACAGGATCAGATCGGACTTTCTACCTCTGAGTTCCCAAGCTCGAGACAAGCAGATGGTGACCTCGGGAACAGGCAGCCAGGCTGGTAGATAGCCCGATAGCCACTCTCCAGCTGGGTAATCAATATTGTCACGATTCCGAGCAGGGCATATCGAATAGAGCAAATTGACTGGTTATTCAACTATGAATAGTGAGTGTAGGAAGCCCATATGGTTTCGTTTTTAATCCCCATATATATAAAATATATATAGCACCTTTATATAGTAATAAACACTTAAAACTTAGTATTTAAAGAACTATAATATTAATAATAATAGAAAGAAAATATAATATATCTATAGGTAAATAGCTAAGCTTTATATTATATAAATAAAGTTAGAAGGTATTACACTTAATAATACTACATTAAAATTATTAATATAAGTAGTTTAAAGGTTAATCTACTATAATATTAGAGTTAATTTAAGTTATTTAACCTAATATATAACTTTATAGAACTTAAAGGAGATAAAAGCTTTAAGAAAAGTACTTATAGTTAGTAAAGTAATTATATAATAAAATTAAAATAGTTTTAAAATAGCTTTTATAAGAAAAGAATTCTATAATATAAAATTTAATAAACTAATTTTCTTTATTAATATACTTATTATATAACTATTTAAATTTATTTTTAATAAATAAATTAAATATATTATAATCTTTATTTTAAATATATAATTAATAAAATAATAATATTATAATAATAAACTTATTTAAGAAAGCCTTTTATATAAATTTTATAAAAATTAAAATTTTCTTAAAAATTAAATAAAGTTTATTTATTATATATTAAATAAATATTATATAAAGAAAGTAAAAGTTTAAATACTTAAAAATTAAATCTTCCTTTTAAGTATACTACTTTACTATTGAAATTTATTTATTTCTATATAATATATAAAGAATATAGTAAAAAAAGAGCTTTATAAAGAAAGTTAATAACTTTATATATAAATAAGTTTAAAGATATATATTAAGTAATTATTAATTGTATATTTAAAGTATAAACTAATAATTAATTTAAAAGTTAAAAAGATAATAAATAGATAAATATATAATTAAATAAAAAATATAATATAGCTAAAGCCTAGGAAGCCCATACTTATAGATAATAGAGTGTTACAATGGGTGGGTCCGATTAGTCACCCAGAGCTCGATCGATATATGCTCAAGTATATAGCTGGTCACTTATCAAGGCGACACTTCAGCACGGACACAAACAACCTGGAAATAAACCATCAACACCACTACAGGCGACGGGGAGCTGCTTTTCACCCACCAATCCGCACAAGACCAGACACTGCACTCATGGCCGCCAAAACTCAATTGAGCACCCTCCCCGCCGAACTGCGCTCCGAGATATGGAGCCTCGCGCTCCTCCCCTCCCCAGGCGTCTATCGGTGTGACACGGCCAAGTTCATCCCCACCCGCGAGCGAGGGCACTTGTTCGAGGTCGAGGACGCGCGCTGGCTGATCCAGAAGCGCCGCTACCCCACAGTCATGCATCTGTGCCGCGAGTCGCGTCTCCTCGCCCTGGGCGTCATGGAGAAGGAGGTGAAGGAGAACGCGTCCTTCTACTGCATCGGGCAGGATACGCGCCCCTTCATCCCCGAGATCGACACCTTTTGGTTCGACGACCACGACGGCGGTAGGACCCTGTGCCAGCCCACCGTCGTCAAGGAGCGCGGCGTCGTCGGCAGCCGGGTCCACACCATCCGGAACCTCGCCGTGTCGGCAGCGCTTGTCCGATCGAGCGACAGGGGCGACTCCACCACGCCCTGGGTCATGTACATGTTTCGGGGCATCGGGCGCTTCGAGAACCTCCGGCGCGTCGACGTCGTGTTTGGGCCTGTTCCGATGGAGGCGCGATGCGATGGTTACGAGACGGATAGGGACTGCTGGGCGGCCGCGGACCCGGAACTGGTCGGGGAACCGCGCCACGGTCATTTCGTCATGACGGGGATGTACGACGTGCCGGAGCTACGGCTGGTGGAGAAGACCACTGGGGCATCGGCGGACGCGGACCAGAGCCGAGACCGACGAGCCGCCAAGAAGAAATTGGACAGGGCACGCGCCGACGTGTGCGGAGGCTATACGAAGAGGGCCTCGTATCTGGCAAGGTTCCCGCCACCACAGCCCCAAGGGCAAGAGGATGTGATAACAGCGGTGCCGGGACAGGGACAGGGACCGGGACCGGAGAAAGATCTGTCTGAAATCACCTTCCACGCCGCACGCATGATCGAGACGGCGAGGTTTTGGGGCCGGACGATTCGCAAGTCCTTTCCTTCGTGGCATTTTGACGGAGCATTTTGACGGAGATGACAGCGATGCGTTCGAGCCGCTCGATTCATCAACCAGTCCTACGCTGAAAAAGCGTACGTCGTTTAATCGCAGTTGATAGTTGGGTAGGCTGGTGGGCGCAAGGTGTGTTTGTAGTACGATAGACCAGTGACTTCGCCGCCGCGGTTTTCTAAGCTAGACTACTTGTTTCAGATCGGAACGGAACCTTTCCATCAGTTGTGCAGAGGGCAACAAACACCTGCTATTTATCTGATCTCCAACCTAGAGCCCAGGCCAGGTATATACATCCTGCTAATATTATAACTACTTTTATACCTGAGAGTATGTACTTAAACTTGGTAAATTACGTCTCGTGCAGGCGGCCAGGCTGGCCTGGTGTTAAAAAACAAGTGAACTGCTAATGAGTATGTTGGCTTATGTATGCCGAAACGAAACAGCAAGAGGAGGACGTCACGACTTCTGTGCGCAGATGAGCGTCGTCGGCCGGCCGTGACAAGAGACTTAGCCATTTCGGCTCCGACGCAGGGGTTGGGAAGGGCCGCTAGGGACCGCAGCAATCTGATAGACCGCTCAATCCACAAATTTGGATTGTATGTATAATTGAGCTCGACAAATACCGTAGACCTGGGCGCAGTACCTTATATCATTCACATCGATGCAGAGCACCACCACTCCACGGCACCAACTATGGCTTCACATTCTCCACCTTCTTCTCCACCGTCTTCTCCTCCGCCTCCAGCTTCTTATCCTCCTTCCCCCCCTTCCCCTCATTCCCATACTCCTTCGCCCGTTCCCAACTCTCCTTCCTCGCCTGTGTCTCCTCAAATTCCCTCTTCGCATCCTCGACTTTCAATCTCTGCCTTTCCAACGCATCCAAATCTTCAGGTTTAATGGCACTCAAGACGCCTTGCTCTCGTTTCCAATCTGCTTGTTGCTGTTGCGATTGAGTGTTCAAGCGTGAGATTATGGAGACGGCGTCGGCCATTGTGAAGGTTGAGGTGTCGATTGTCTTGCGAATTAGAGAGGAGCGGAGATAGGATCTTACGACGCCGTTTGGTTCTTGCAACCGGGATTGGACTTCGTTGACGACGACATGGTCCGCGAGACGAGTGATGGCGCGGGATTTCTGCCGGTCTGGAAGCGTCGATGCGAGTTTGACGGATGAGGAAAGCTCATTTACAAGCTGGGACTGAAACTGCGAGGCGATTTTTTCGTTTGTGATTCGAGCCGCGCGGGCAATGAAGCCAGGGTCGTTCTGAATCCTTTCGATCATGTCGGCTGGTGAGGTTTGTTCTTTGAACTTCGATGCATCGATGCTTGGGTTATTCTTTAATTCCTCGGCGTCCAGGGCTTGGAATTCTTTCTGCTTGTCATCGATGAGTGTTTGCATCTCGGTGTGGAACGCGCCGCGAATGGCGTCGTCGGAAAAGGCAGTGCTCATCATATGGATTGTCTTCTTTCGCGCAAGCGCTAAATCTTTTTCTGGGACTCCGAGAGTTGCGAGGCCATCTGAAGAGACTAGACCAGGAAGTGAGCCGTCGAGAACGCTGATGCGTCGACCTTCTTTTTCCACTGTAAGACCTGCGGAATCGATGGGGACTTTTTCAATTGTTGCGGCGTTCGTGACTGCATCTTTCATGACGTCTTCGGGTGATTTGTTCTTCAAGTCGGCTTCAAGCTTCATCTGATCGATATACTTGTAAAAAGGCACCTCCATCGGGATATTGAGTCGTTCCGCATTCATATTCGAGCCTGTGAGTGATCGCGCCGCGGCGCCAGCAACGCCCGCGACATCCAGATAAGTCCACCACTTCATACTCCGCGAATACGCCGCTTGAAACGCCGCGTCCTTGGTCTTCAAGACTTCTGCAACCGTCTTCCCCGTGCGATGAGCTTCAAGGTTAAGTTCGAAATTCGTCATCGAGCGCGCCATGAGTGCCGTGCCTCCAAAATTATTGACCTTGTCTGCAGCACGTAACGGCGACTTTCCCTCCATGTAATTCGTAAAGTACACCTCGTTGACTCTGTTCGAGTTCCAAAACATGCCCCAGTCATTGCCGCCGGTCAAGAAGTGCCAGCTCGACGTCATAGCCGGAATCGACAAGGAGTTCCAGCCATTCACGTCCTTGATATGCTTGACGTTTCCGATGCGAACCAACCCAGAGTACCCAAGACGAACCATCGACCCGCTGACAGGCAACCCCTTCTCAAGCCACAGCTTCTCATCCTGTTGGATCTTCTCATGGTTCTGCCAGAGATAAATGAACTTCCCAATAGGCGTGATGCGTTTCATCAGTTCCATACTATGCACCGGCGTAATGAACGTCGCGCCAACAGGGATTGACTTGATGCGAACGACGGCAAGTGCTTCGAGCTGAGCTTGTGAAAGGGTACCTTTGAGCATCCCGGCGTTGGCATCGGACATCGTGACTCTACCAGCTGCAATCGAGCTATGATAGTCCTTTGCCGTCCAATCAGATAGAAAAGTCGAATCGCGTTCGCTGTCGGGAAGGTTTCCGAACTGCTCTCTCACAACTCGATGCCATGTCGTTACACCAGTCGCATAATCCGACGAGGTGGTCTTATTGAACATGTCTCCCCTTGAGCTTGGATCACTTCCGAACGATGAAAAGGATCGGAATGCACGGCCGTCCAATGTTCGTTCATTTGTGAAATGATATGGTACCAACCACTTCATCAGGCCCGTTGTAGCGCGACCAAAGGCATCGCTTCGGCGATATGTCCGCATATTATCAATGCTTAAGGCGAAGTTGTAAGACGACTTATCCCCAAAGATGGTCTCGTCGTAGCCTGAGAACGGATCATATATCGTCGCCAGCGTGCCCATCGCTGGCGCTGGGACCGGATCATCCGCCGCGAAAAGGTGAATTGGTATACTGGGAATGTCATGGCGGCGACGATGATGCGTTGACGACGCTGCCATGACTGCCCTCTTGTTGATAGTTCGTGCAGAGTAGGCCCTAGCGGTGGTAACATGAGGCTCGTGATCGAGTCGAGACCGGAAGATAATCTCAGACGTGAACTCGATCTCCTCCACGTTCGAGACATCGTACGCCGTGTTCCACGACACAGACCACTCAGTCAACGGACTCAAAAGCGGCCGTTCAATCTTCTTGTCTTCGTCTAGTGTCACGAATTGCGCCGAAGCGTGAGACGTGACTTTTGTTTTCGTCGCATCGCTGAAATCGTAGGTGTACGTGACGTTCCTCTCGATCGGCGCCTTCTTGAAAAAATACTCGACCTCTTCTTCGGTTTCTTGTTGGGTGTCTGGATCGATGACTTTCTGTTTGATGCCTTTCGTGACCCAGAATCCAGCCGGAAAGTCGACATGGAGCAAGATCTGGTTGCTGTCATTCGCTTGCTCCTTATCCTTTGGTAGTCGAGCGCCTTTCAGAACAACGGTCGCTTGCTTCAAGCGGACATCAGCAATGTCATCAATAGGTATGCCAAGGATATCCTCGCAGTTCGTCGAGTCAATGAAGAGGTTGAAAGGTTGGAGTCCTTTCGCCTTGCCGTCCTTGTTTGTGATTGGAACAAGCTTGCCGCTATCGAGCTTGAGGCCAAAAACATCAGGATGAGAAGTCTTGTTGATAGTGTGAACATATGGCGAAGCCGTCAACGTATACGTATCGTTGAATCGCCGCATATTATCGTTCTCGGCCCAAAGCTGCGGCAGAATGACCTCGTTGAACAATTTGCCAGTGAAATTATCCCACGTCCCAAGATCGATGATCGACTTTGAAATCGTTGGAGCCTCCAGTTTCAGCGCGCCAATGACCCTAATGGCATCGAGGTAGCTCTTCACCACACGAGCCTTCTGCCAATTATACGCCTGATCGTAGAGCTGGACGAAGATCTGAAGCTTGACGCCCGGGACCGAGGGCGTCATGCCCAGCAAATCCGCCGACGCAATTTTAAGCTGCGTATTGAACACTTCGATCTGGGCGCCTGTCAAAACAGCTCGTTTGTACGTCAACACCGCGGTGTTGAGCTTCTGCGCCTCAGCAACGAGAAGGTCAAACGCGAGATTGGCTTTGTCCCCATCCTCCCCTGGGAAGTACTGGGAGCGAAGCTGATCAAAGCTAGATTTGAGCGTCAAGACCGTCTTGACGACATCCTTGTCGCCATCTTCTGCTGCCGTGCGGCTCGATGCTGCTCCCACGGCACTGATCAAGGCATCTCCATGGACATCATCGGCAATGCGTTTGACGTTTGCGGAAAGCACGGCTCCGTCGACAGTTCCGCCGCTCGTCTTGACCGTCGAGAACAAATCATAGGCAGTTGAGCCCACGGAAAGGATATTTCCTGCCAATACGATACCTTTTGCCTCTGGCGTGAACATGAGGCAGGTAGCCACGGCGCCAAGGACCTTGACTATACCATCGCAGGTGAAGATGGCAGGCTTCGCAAATGCCAGAGCTTCTACCTCGGTGTTGCAGTTCTTGATAGCGTCTGTGACCCGTATTTGCGCAGCTCTGATATCAATGACTGCTGCGTTGATGTCCTTGACGGCCTGGTCACGTCGCGTATCGATGCTGGCGATGGTCCGTCCGTATGCTTGGAGCCTCGCGCTCACGTCGGTGGCTTTGTTGTCAAGTGTCTTCAGATATTTCGCGTCCTCGCTTCGAGTCTTTTCGACGCTGTTCAGCTCCGTTACTGCCGTGTGTAGCGTAGTCAATGAGAAGCTGAGATCTGGAATATAGTCGAAAGATCTGCCGTATGAATCCTAGGCCGGCTGCATGATATCAGGATCCGCGCTCAGCGAAGCAAACTTTTGCCAGGCCAGCTTCATTACGGCGCGGGATGCTCCCGAGTTGGTCCAGCGGCTGTCTCTTGTCGCCTCTTCGCGGAAGTGCTTCTCGCAAGCCAGGAACTTTGTCTTGTAAGGCTCCTTCATATCGGCGATATCAGGTTCGAGATAGAACTTCAGGTCTTCTGTGCCTTGAACAAGCTTGTCCGAGTCCATAAACTCCAACACGCTTTCGCAGAGCGATTTGACCCAAGCTAGACTGCGGTCGAAGCGAAGTCGCTGGATCGATTTGTGCTTGTCGGACAAGGTATCGAAGTAGCTTCCAAACAGCACATCATACTCGAAGGACAATCTTTGAACAAGCATATGCAGAAAGAGCGGATTGAGCAGCATGGCGAATGTCCCAATTTTCGTGTGAGCAGCGGCTGTCGCAGTTCCTGCCGGATGGTCCGCCGAAAGAGTGTTGTCAATCGTCAACTTCTTCAAAGCCTGACTAGCGCCGTTTCCGCTTTTGCCAGTGACCGTTCTAGGAGGAACCCATTGGCCTCTTGGTATCGTGTAGCCCGGGATATTCGCGTAGCCGTAGTCGCCGCCGTCGCCGCCGATGCCATTATCGCCAGACCAGTTATTAGGCCCCGGACGGTTCTCCTTGTATGGGTTGAGCCCGGTGAAACGATTGCCATAATGGAACCGGTCTCTGGTGTAGAAACGAACGAAGCTGTCGCCTCCGGCGCCGCCTTGGCCCCCAGCACCGCCGTCTGCCCCCGCGCCTCCGTCCGCTCCGTTCACGACGTCCTCAAGTCCAAAGGTCGGAGTCGAGCCACTTCCAATGCTGTGTCGGATACCGTTGCCGCCCTTACCACCATTCCCTCCCGGCTGACCTAGTCCACCCTTGCCTCCACGACAATTAAACCAGACAGTGATGGGCGAAAGGTCGAATCCCGGCTTCACCACGCCCATGATGTCGGCCGCACAGAAGTTGATGGAATTTCCCTTTCCGCCCGGATTTCCGGCCTTGCCCACTTTGCCGGCTGTGCCAGCTTTGGCATTTTCGTGCGGTCCCCAGTCACTCCATGAAGCATTCGCGGCCTGCTGCGGGGTCTCTGGCTGCTTTTGACGAGCGCCCTCGGATCCCGAACAGTCAAACAGCACAAACTTCTCCTCGTTTGGCGTTGCCTCGGTGTACGTTGGCTCGCCTGCTCTCGGAACAACGATGATGCGCTTCGCGAAGACGGTCAGATCACAATTTTCGTAGCGGAAATGACTCCCTCGATAAACCAGCAGATCCTCGGCCTGGATGAAGACTTGTTTGACGGTAGTAGCTTCCTTCCTGAGGACTATACGCGTTGTCTGCGTGGCCTCCTGGAGGCCTGTCACCACGACGCTAGATTTGTCGTAGCGATTTGCAGCGTCGGGAACGATTGGCGGGTCGTTTTTCAGAGTCTCGACGTCTTCATCGTATTCCAGCGCCTGAGGGTCGTCGTCCACGTAGGCGGGCCACTCAGGATGGTTTGGTGGCAGGAGCGTTGCGCGGCGGTGGGCGATGAGGTACCAAACAATGGTGCCATCGCTTGAGTAGACTCTCCTGAACAAGGAGGATTCTTCGTCCTCTTCTGCTCGCTTGTCCTCGGCGACAGGGGAGGTGTAGTCTGTGGCCGTGGCCTTCTTGTTCCAATCGTCTGGTACGGTGATGTTGGTCGTCATGATGTATTTGGTTGTGGTAAATGAATTAGCCAAGAGGGAAACGTCACAATTCGTTGAGCGTAAGACAAGATTCAATAATCAGGAGAGGATTGAAAGTGCTGCGTGAGCAGGTCTTATTAGGAAAATGCGAGCAGAATTTGGAGAACCTTGAGATGACAACAATGAGACACGGACAATACGGAGAACGAAGCAGATGACATATGCACCGAAGACGAATGAGATCCCATATATGGCATAGCTGATTCCCTGATGAGCGCGGATTGGCGTTGGTCTTCAGCTCTAGATGTGGCGCCCACGCCCACAGCTGAACCAATATTGATGGGTGGCACATTCTTGGCATCGCGTGCCCGTGGCTCCTCGATTCGAGACTTTGGACATGCAGACACGAACCGTTCGTGGTCGACTCCCATTCGACAGACTCCATTGCGAACTGGTCTAGCAGCTGAAATGAGAGCTGGTTGCGGTCTGGACGGTATTGGTATTGGTATTGAACAGTCGCCGCCGTAGGCGGAGGGTGGGCTATACCCCTTAGTACATGACATACTCTCCTCCACCGCCTCGCAAACTAGGGGCATAGGGCGTGGTAGAGGTACCCGGAGGTATCTACCGTTTCATCAGGCCGAAGCACATTACTCCGTAGGTGGAACCCGTCAAGCCCTAAGGCCCTATCAAATCGTGCCACTCTAGGGATCACTCCTCCTCCATTTGGAGTAGCCCAGAGCGAAGGGAATGCTGATTTAACCACTCCTTCTTGAAGCCTACCTTCCTAATTCATAGACCTGGCACACTAGTAGACGCTAGGAAGTCCTAGAACCCCGCAACTCCAGCACCAAATTCACCGAACTAAGGCGGTCTGGACGGGAACAGCCGTGTAATGGCCGCATCGGGCTGGGGGGCTGAGGTGGTTGACTGGCTAGGGCTCTGAGGCCCTTGGCTCTTTGAACTTAGATTTCGTCGCAGGCTTCCTTTCCTCCTTCCTTCTTTTTTTTAGCCAGACTAGGTATTACTTGAAATTCTACAATTTCAAGCAAGAGTTGAGAGCTTTGCCTCTCCTATGTCCCTCCCGTGACAATCCGCACCCATTGTAGAAGTTTAGAAGAAGATAGTGTTAATACAGCAAGCTAAGGAGCTGCAATGTCCTAAAGAAGGAAAGAAGGAGCTGCTTTAGTGCTTACTGCTTACTGGTATGAGCCACTCCTAAGTATTACTATAATCTAAAGTTTATACTTATAGAAATAAAAGCTTTTATAAAACTTAAAAAAAGTTTAAATAAAGTTAGATTAAATTATAATATAATAAAATAGTTAAATAAAAATTAATTAGAAAATTATAATTATAAATCTTTAAACTTTATATTAAAGAGGGGTATAGGATAATTATATTTATATTAACTTACCCTCACCTTAAATTATATTAATGCTTGTTTAAGACTACCTAGTTGAAAGATAGCGTTATTTGGACATGAAGTGAAGCAAGTATCACTTCTCTATCAAGCGGTGATTCTAGGGTGCCCTATAATCGACGTGTGTATTTGGAAAGTCTATGGATTTCTATAGGTATATGCATGCTGTCTATACCAGGAACTCCAAAACCTATGCAACAAACGCCTCGCTCGCGGTAGTGCATCAATGCCTCACCCGTCCTACAGGATTTTCTATGCTGGGTACCCCTCCCCTAGTCCCTCGGTCGATATGTGAGTCCTGCTACACATGTACACAAACCGCCCCCAGTCCGTCAGCAAGCCTTCAGCTGGATCACACCGGCGACTCAAACCCCCGACGTGCTGTCAACGTCTAGAAGGGCACCCCGTCGGCGGTCACCTGTCCGTTGGTAGTCGCCCTGATAGTGCCACCCGTTTTGGTAGCGCCCTGGCGCGTCTTCTCGGAGATCCTGCCGCGGAGCAGCGTCGACATCTTCTGCAGCTCCCCATTGACGCTGGAGAGGACGCCGTTGAGCGTGGCCGTCATCCCGGGGATGTCCTCCGGCGCGAGGCCCATGTCCGCGATCTCGCCGGCGACGTCGGGCCACAGCACGTGGATCTGGGGCCGGTGGCCCTCGTCGACGTCCGGGTCCCAGAGGCCGCCCTCGACCGCCGCGTCCATGATGGCCTTGCCCATCTTGGTGATGGCCGGCTGCCCGCCGAACGCGCCAAAGTGCCCCACGATCTTGTCCACCTTGCCCGGGCTGACGCGGCCGTAGGTGACGATGACGCCCACGCACGTCCCGAGGCCCCTGGTGATGACCTCGTCGGCCGCCGTGCCCGTCTTGACCTCGTTCAGGCCGGCCTCGTTGATCGCGCGCCTCTGCACGGCGTGCGTGGTGGTGGTGTCATCGGCGCCGGCGGATCGCCTCGAGACCTTCTTGCCCTTGGCCGGGGGCGGGGGGAACTGGTACTTTGGCGCGCCCTTCTTGGACGCCTCGATCAGCAGGGCCTGGTGCTCGTTCGGCTTACCCTTAGCGGCCGTCTTTGTCTTGTCGGTCTTCGTCTTATCTGTGGCTGGCTTTCCGCTGGCTGGCTTTGCGGCGGCTGGCTTCGCGGCGGCTGGCTTCGCGGCGGCTGTGGACCCCTTGGACGCTCGGTCTTGAATGACGGCGGCAGCCGCCGTCCAGACGAGGAAGAGGGTCAGGAGGAAGGAGAGGAGCTTCATGTTGAGACTATATCCACCAGGGATATGAAGGATAATTTAATAAACGAGAGGTCTTTGTGTGTGTGTTTGTGTGTGTGTGGTGAGATCCAGCCCACGATAGTATTGAAGGAGAGACTGTAGTAAAAGGAATGTCGTGATAGCCTGATCACTTTGAGATGCTGAAGTGAATATGTTTGATGTCGTACAATCTACTCTCTGAATGCGCGGGATGTCTGCCGTCTTTATACGCCTGCGGGCTTGGCTCACTGGCCCAGCAACTTCACTTCGCCTTTGAGATCGAACGCGATGCTGTCCGCCTCGTCTGGTCTAACGGACTGGTCAGATTCGTTGACTCTTGATACCACTCTTGGCTGTGGTACCGAGTGGATGTCCTGGGGGCTGCTGAATCCATCCTGGCGGCCTGTGTCAACCTGTGCCTCTGTCGACCTGTGCCTCTTCACTTTCGTCTGCCTTTGACAACAGACAGGAGCCAACTTCGGCCACACTCGTACGATCGGGCCGCCGACTCCTGTTCGGAGGCTTGCCGTGCGACCATCTCAGATAAGCAGGCGTGGGGTGGCCGGTGTCCCTGTTCCGGCTTCAGGATGACCAAGAGAACAAAAGACAAACAAGTATTGGAGGAGAGGATCCAGCAGCCGTCAGACAGCCTCTCCGGCTGCTGGCCGTGGTGGGAGTCGGGATCCAGGTCAGGAGCCCCGGGTCGCTGTTATTGGGCCCGTATGTTCTGATCAATCAATAAATGTACTGGATTCTTGTGACCAAACCGCGTTGGCAGGATGAAATATCGCCCACTTGCATCCATCTGCGCGGCGGAGGTGCAAATAGGGGCCGTGAACCGGTCTCTGGGGTCGAGGTTCGGCTCGTGACCCGACGAACCATTGAATATGATCCTGCAGACCGGGCCGTTGTAAGCGACTTGGCCCTGTTTTATTTTTGAAAAACGCTGGGTCTTGAGCGTTTTGGTACCACTATGTGAAGGCGCCGGATACGTTTTACATGTATGGGACTTAAGAAACAGTAGCACCACTTATAGGCTACTGATGAGTCAATGGTGCCCGGCTCAAAGGTTGTCGACACAACATGCTGGAGTCGAAGGCTTCACACAAGCCATCTCCATCTCGCCTCGTTGGTTGGCAACAATCGGCCCCACTGCTGACATGGAGTGGATGATTCTGGAGTTTCAAGTAAGGTTACTGTTATGCTATTTTTACAGTACACACGTACCCACTTCCGGCTTACTGTGGTGGGCTGACAGTGCCCTCGGGCCGCCTGTTGGTTGCTCCTGGCGGTAAATCCCACCACCATCCTGTCAAATCCTTGGTTGTGAGCACTCACATATCATCATGTCCCCCCTCACACTGCCACAGCGAGGCTGCGAACTTGAGTGCCAACGACTCCCTTCTTTCATCCTACTAACACGGTCCGACTCGGCTTGTTGCCGTGCGTCGCTGCATACCGTCAAATACGCGGCACGTCCAAAGCGTCCAGCGTGCGCATCCCCCACGCGGTTTCGGACGCTGACAGCACCTGAGGTGAAGCCATTCACGACGCCCTTATTTTGTCTACCACGCCGACCCTGATTTGGAGGAGCAAACCATGGCAGAGTCGGACCTCCCGCTTGATATCTTCAACAGCCGCTACCTCAGCCGGCAGTCCCAGTCTGCTCCGAGTCCTGGCGCGGATCTGGAATTCCCCCTATTCACACAGCTGCCTCGTGAGCTTCGGCTTCAGATCTGGACGTGGCACCTTGTCCCCCGCCGCCGCTTCCTCCGCGTGCTCCTGGAGGAGGGTGAAGGAGCTCAACACAGCCTGAGTGGGTCCGGGTCAGAGCCAGGGGTTGTGCACCGGGAATCAGAGTTCGGCGACGATGATGAATGGACCTCTTCTATGTTCGCCGGCGGACCGTCTGAGGCTGAGACATGGCCGTCTGCGGGCCCCATGGCGCCGCTGGTCCGCGTGACGTTCCTCAGCGCCCCGCCGCCGGAGATGCCGGCCCTACGGCTGGTATGTCGAGAAGCTCGCGATGCCCACAGCTCGGCATATCGCATCCGGCTACCAGCACTTGCGCGAATACCGAGGGGGAACGGCACGCGCGACTACACAACCACCCCGATCGTGGCCCTCCTGAACCCCGAGCTCGACATCCTCTCCCTCCACACGCCGAACCCGCGGGATATCGCCACCCTCAACCTCCTCCCCTTCTTCCTGCACCACCTGCTCCAGCACGACTCCTCCCCCGAGCAGCTGCGCTTCGGCGCCCGCCACATCTGCGTGGACCTCAAGCACCTCGGCAGCGACCACCTCGACGGCCGGCGCGAAGACTCGCCCGCCCCGCTGCCACCCTCCATCCTCGCCTCCGCCCGCCTGGCCGTCTCCCACCTGCGCGGCCTCTACCTGCGCCTCACCACCGCCAGCCACCTAGAGCCGCGCGTCACGAGCGGGCCCTTCAACAACACGAGGGCGCTGACCTGGTACAACGCCAGCGTCCCCGTCCTCCCCGCCGCCTCGTGGGGGTTCCCTGGCCCCGTGGAGCCCGTCCCGGGCGGCGACCCGCGCCTCGCCTGCCCCGAGGGCGCCGCGGACCTGCGCCAGGTCTGGGTCGGCGAGCAGCTCCGCCCCTCGCTCGACGTCTGGGCCGGCCTCCAGCGCGCGTGGGGCGTGCCAGCCGCCGCCGCGACCCGAGTGCGCGCCCTGGTTGGGCTGGACGCCGAGGGCTGGGCGGGCCGGACTTTGGGTGGCAGCAGCAGCCTCCGTGCGTACTTGCGCGACGAGCGTGCCACATGGCAGACCCTGATGGACCCGGCGCTGGACATGGGCGAGCTCTCGCACGGGTTCTTCAGGACCGCCCTGCAGAGATTCCTCCCCGGCCCGCCGGCGGTGACCCCGGAGGAGTGGATCTCTCGGCGGGAGCCGCATACGGCCGTGGGATTCTGGCTGGTCGACCCGGGGGTGCTGGAGGCTGCCGAGACCACCGGCAACGAAGGGAAGCGCATGGTTAATCTTTCTGGGAGCGGGGCGGAGGATATCGAGCTGTGGGTGTTCGAAGGGCACTCCTAACGTCTACTTTGATCCCTGCGTGCTCGAAGCCTCCAAGAGTCGTGTCCCAGTTATATCTAGTGCTCCAAGGTTCTCTGATTTTCGTTGCCATTGTGCCTACGTGGGTATTGAGCAATATCAGGTTGAATATTTCTATTTAATCATGAAGCACAGAGATACCTCAGAAAGAACATAACCGTCACTCGCTTGCGTGAGAAGGTGAAATGATTAAAAGAGACCATAAGAACAGGAAACTCCGATGCTGGTCGTGCTGTGATGATTACGGTGAATAATAACGGTATTCTGGGCTAGTGGTAAAGCAAAGTCTCAGAGGCGAACTTGTGCCAGAACAAACGAGAAGGTTTTGGGACCTCTATATAGGGGTGAAGATGGGACGTTGATGATTTGCAAAGGCGTCAATATATACTTGGACATTAGTATCTTATCTGTCAAGAACCGCGTCGTCAACAAGCCTCAACATTCCCCATGCCTCACAAAAGATTGCTCCTAAAGTCACCATGCAACTCAGTCTAGCAGTCTAGGTGCCATCTGCATCGCACAGAGTCAGTACGTTTCTTTATGCTCGAAACCATGCCGCCATTGCATGAGATAGGTCATTCAGTTTGAGGAAACTAGGAGGGCACTAACACATATTCAAGCTTGTCGTCATAACTACTCTCGCCGCCATGCTCACACCCGACCCACTCTCGGGTCCACGCATCGACGGCCTGGTTGCTAGAGACGGTCCTTGTATCGCCGTGGTTCTTGACCAGGACGTTGAGACATTTGCCGTCGCTTGATTTGCCGGTCTTCTTGAACTCCTTGCCGCCCTCGAGTTGACTCATCTGCAGCTCACAGCCAGCGGCGTAAAAGAACTCGATGACTTCGAGGCCGTGGTCTGGGCGTGTGTTGCTGCCTCCGAAACACCTCGCCGTGGCCAGGGTAGGGGCACAGATAAAGGCCACAGCAGCAATGTTTGAGAACTTCATTGTGATGATTTGAGAGATGGGGTTGGCGACGCAACGAGGAATCTTGTATTGGACTGTGAAAGTGGAGGTGGACGAGACTGTTGATGATGAAGGTCTGGCGTTGGGGAATATTGCTTGTTGATGTAATAAGCTAGATATGGACAAGAAGAGCTGGCAGGCAGTGTTTTATAGATCAACATTGACACCCCGAGTTGGAATCTCTAAGGCCATCTCTTGAACTATTTGCACTCGAGGCGTGATGCACGATAGACTTCCAGAAATAGAATCCAAGAGACCACACGAATGTTGTGGATCAGCTGGGCTAGCATCGCCACACCTCTGATTCTAGCTGCCTGTTCGTAGAAGAATGATTCCTTGCGTTGTGCAATTCGGGCCACGGCTCAGCCTCGCTGGAAGTTTTACATCCGGGGCTACTGGGATCCGCATCAACCGGGCGATTTGATCTTGGCATTTACACGATCTGACACTAGTCGATAGTTTGAAGAAACTTATGGCGAATGTTATCGATTGGCGAGAGGCCAAGCCCGTGTATTGGAAGCATGTCCCTTGCACGTCTTCCAGGCAACACTCATGTGCACCTTTTAGCAAGCATGGCAACAAATCGGCCCGCTTCCATCGCGCAGTCATCGAGGCATTGTTCAGCCTCCTCAGCTGAAAGTAAAAATAGCGAGTTCGTGATATCTGCGATCACCTAACAATCGATCGGTCTACAACCTCGATGAGGCTGCAAACCCCCGGCGATAAATATGTTCGGCCCGGGACCTTTTCGAGAGTAAAAATTGAAATTAAGTCTTCATTCACGCAGGCCTTTCTAACAACCCTTGGAATTTTACCACCGTCCTCAGCAGGAGTGTGTCATTAAAATCAAAAACACCAATCTTCCTGTTTTCAGTTCTTGCCTTGGAAGTTTCCCCCACAGTAGCCCAACAACGCGACTCCACGACTGACAGCCAATATGCATCCAAGCAATGGCATTAAGATGGCGTTCGTCAGCTTCATCTGCTTCGTCCCAGGGGTATGTCCATTCTACCAGCTGACTTGTCTCATGGTACAGTTTCTAATGCCTACGTGTGTGTCGTCTAGATCCTCGGTAACCCTGTGCCCTTTCCACCACGGCCCCCCACACTCAAGCTGCGAATGGCACCTGCGACAATCGTCGACATAGGGGCGGACCACGCCTTCGCTGTACCCGGCAACATCAACAGCTCCCTGTCATTTGACAACGAAACCGGCCTAGGGAAGCGAGGCATCGCCACCAAGTTACAAAAGATAAGGTGTGGGATCAACGGTGGCGGCCTCGCCAACTACGACGAGGGAAGAAAGAGGTTCGGGCGGTTCATGAGCGACCTGGGTAGCGTGACACTCTCGGGTGTCAGGTTCGCGCTGCAGAATGCGCTCTGCAACGATGACACGTGCGACATGATCATAGGCGCATCTTTTGAGGTACCCGGCTGGTTGTTGGCTGGCCAGGTTGAGCATTTCTTCGACAGGGCCTTTGATGATGTCCGCCAGGAATGCAAGGAGAAGGGAGGCAGCGCCGAGCTCATCGCCGACAACCCCAAGGCTAGCGATGTCTGCGGCATACCGACCTGCACTGCCGATGGCAGGATGGGGCTCAGGGTTGGTACCTTTGAAGCACAGTTCTATGTCCATGATGGCGGAGATACGTGCCCGGCTCCAACCGCTCAGCAGGTATGTAAGGTGGAGCAGTTTAGCTAAGATGCGATTCTTCCGACATGGATCATGGCGCAGTCGGTCATAGATTGTTGGGTTTCAATGTCTCGGCCTTGCGTTTATCATTGTCAAGTAGTCACGGGATGCAATTGAAAGGGTTACGTTTTCCACTGCATGCGGAAGATGTGAGAATTCAATTCTTAGGGGTGGATCAATATTGATACCTACGTAGGTGGACAAGCCCAGAAGCGAGCAAAGACTAAGACTACCTAGGTACACAAAAGGAACGAGACTTGGCATGTATGGGGGCTGATCTCGGACCAATTTGTCGTGTTTTCCTTGAAGACTTTACCACCCCACCAGCTGAGGCTCTACTCTCTTGAGGTCTTCCGCAGGAATGGTTCGGAGTAATTCCCGAAGTTTCTCAGTGACAAGTTCAGTCTTCTTCATCTTCTCAGCCATCGTAGCTGCTCTGACGTCCTCAGGGATTGCTTGCACAATTCCGCGAACCATGTCGAGACGTGCTCCCTGAAGCCAGGTGCCTGTCCTTTCCTCCGCAGCCCATCGCGCGTGGTTTCGATTCATCTGGTAGACGCTAATGAGGTAGTCTAGGGGCTCGTTGGGGGCCTGAATAGGGCGGCAAAGCTTGTTCTTGTCCTCTTCATCTCCATAAGTGGCTTCGACGTGGGCGATGAAAGCGGCGCTGAACAGTTGCTGACAACGGCGGACTGGCTGAAGAGTGATGTGGTTGCCGTTGAAAACTGGCACCTGCTCCACCTTCTTCGCAGCATTCGAAGTGCAGTCGATGTAGATCGCGTCTGACACGGGCTCGTAAGTGCCCTTTGTCAGCGTGACCTTGTCCGTGTCAATGCGCGCGACCCGTCCTTTCCGTACAATGTTTTCAATCCTTCTAATCTGTTCGAGCTCGGCGGTGGAGACAGTACAGCACTTCCACACGGTGGGCCACCGTTTCTCATCGATTCGCAACAGCTCTCCGGCAGCCTCGACGCGCTTGAACATGTCATCCACCGATGAGGACTCTAGAATCGCGTCCTCGACTTCGGACCACTTAGCTGCGGTTTGGTGGACGATTTCGGGGTGAATCTGCAAACGGCTCCGATCAAATAACCATGCATCGCTGGGCATGATCCATGTGATGTCCTTTGGGTCGACCCCGTTGGCCATAAGCCACAGGCAGGCATCAATGCCGGTCTTTCCAGAGCCGACCACAGTGTATCCACCGTAGGGTCGTGAGAGCTTCGATAGATCGTTGATTTTGATGTGGCTGACGTCCCTCGCGACCTCATAGGGAGGCGGCTTCATGGCAGGGACCTCCACCTTCATATAGGTCGCATCCACAATCTTGGTGTTAGAACCAACACTGATAGTCTTGTTGGTGATAAGCGACTTGAATTTCCCATCGCCGACCCACTCGTGCTTCGGATAATACGTGACACGGCCGGACGGGAGCAGAGTGGAGTGCATGACCTTGCTGAAGTAGGCAAGAACCTCGTCGCCGGTGGCCATCTCGGCCATGCCCTTGTTCGGCCCAACCTCGTCGATCTTGCCCTCGCCAAGTTCTCGAGAGTTTACGCCGTAGAACTCAGACGGCTGGTGCAGGCGTACAAAAGGGTAAACGAGCGTCCATTGGCCGCCCGGGCGACCGTAACGGTCAACCACAGCCACAGTGGCCTTTGTGTCCGTGATCAGGGTATCGACGAAAGCGAGCCCCATGGCACCTGCCCCGATCACTAAGTAATCAGGCGAGATTGTTTCGGCCATGCTGCGCAATGTCGTCGTCTTGAGTGAGGCTTATGTCGCACAGCAACCAGAGGTAGGAGAGGAAGACGTGGAATGATGGAAAGATTCTGGTCTATTTGAGTGCCTAGGTAGGTCCGTAAGCCGCCTTCTTTTATACATGCACGCGCTTGCAAAGACCCGCCTGTGTACCCAATCAATCCGAAACCAACATCCACATGTCAGATTTCAGCTTGTGGGCTGTTGTGTACTTCTGTCGACATGTTGGGCGCCGTTTCAAAAACCAGGCTTGTCCTGGTGGAGGATTCTAACCTTGTGCTACCCTCAAATATAATTACCCGCCGGTGGCTGGTATTGATTCCAAATATGAGAAATCTCCACTAGCCTATAGACTATTGCGGATTCAGCAAATGCAGGTGGAACGACGCGTGTTGATCAACGGTTGACGTTGAGGATGAGTCTTGGCATAAGCACTGTAACGATATCTCCCATCATCCCGATCCAATTGCGATCCCCTGCATTGCCCCAATTCAGAAATTACTTGTTGAAGACCCGAAGCCACTAAGATCGCGCCTCAGAGCAGAAAAGCAGACCTCGTGGGAATGTGACATAGGGACACAATAGATCACCGGAATTTTTAACGAACTCGACATGCCCTTGCGTGTCAAAACCATGGGGAAGCAGAGATACTTCCAATTTTAAGGACATGCAGGCCGCTGTCCTCCGGGAGATTATGTCGTAGGCGGATACCCCGTAGGAGGTTTTCTCGTAGGATGACATCCTATAACGTTAGGAGCCCAAATCTAACGTAATCTCTCATGCACAAATCTCACGCGGCTGTTTGCAGCATTGAGAAATGCCAGTAGACCGAGGATAGTTGTCCAACTCCAATTCGCTCAATTCTTTTACATAACGCTGGTACCGGGGAAAATTCGAAAGAAATGCCATATCGCAATCACACGTCTTCCATAACTTCAGGAAGACATCGCTCATTCAAGTCGCCTCAGTAGCATCTGACCGTGATCCTCCGATCCGTCAGATTCTGCACTGGCAAGATCTATTGAGACCCCAAACAGCGGCCATTCGCGGTTCGATGTTATTCCTTCAACCATATGTTTTGACAATCTGGGTTATGGCAGGTTCAACTACTGTCGATTTCTAGGAGATTCGATCAGTGTCTGCACATATTGGAGAAAGTCATGGTTCTCAAGTTCATTCTGCTTTAGCTTATACCCTCTAGGGAACGCAAAGGACCCCCCGTCCGCGTCATGGAAAAATACACATCCATCTACTGGGTGTCCGGAAGGTCCAACCATTTGGGTTTGTTCGACCCGTGTCGCGAACAGTCCCCGAATACCTGTTTATTTCGATGGTTAGCTCCTGGGTTCAAGACTCAGCGTGTGCGCAGTGAATGGCGATGAATATTAACGTACTGAATGAACTGAGGCAAGAGTACCAATGTCGAGAAATTTGAAAGCAAAAGCCCGGTGCAAGCACACACAGCATGCCTCCAACTAAAAGCGCAATGATAATTTGGAGTGCAGAAATGGAGCCTTCACGGAATGGTTCCATGCTTGACATGATGAGTGAAGGTACGGTCTTTCCTCTCTGTCACGAGACAGGTTGATTCTGGAAGAACTTTGGATGATGGAGGAAAAGGAATCGAGCGGACTCGAGAGACACGGCCCCTTTAAATACTTTTTTGAAGCCCGCTAAACCCCATTTTTTCCCCATGCCTTTTTGCGCCGTGACTTTTTCCACTTCGCAGAGAAAAGTGCACATTTTGTAACATGATTCGGAAAAGCAATAAATATCAACAATTTTCAGTCTCCCCTGGCCGTATAGAGCGGCCGTAGTAACCCTACCATACTACGCACCCAGACGAGAGCTGAGTGTGCTGCCTAGAATTTTTTCACCGGTCGGACCAGATTGGAAGCCGGGAGAACCAACAGCATTTTTACGACCAATGAAATAAGTTTGACCCTGTCCACACCCCCTGGTTGGTTTCATGACATTTCACGCATGTTTAATTGTGGTCAATGAGGTGCAAAGGCCTTATCAAGGAGGGTCTGCTACCCCTCCACGGTGTGAACGTGTTCCTTTTCCTCGCTCCTGGCTTGATGTGGTTGTCGTCTTCCAAGGTTGTCTTGACCCCTCGTCCCTTTCCGGGTCTAGCCAACTCCCCATTCATGTCCTTCTCCCCTCATTTCCTATTCTTGTTTTCTCTGCGATTTCTGTTCCTCTGAAGTTCGCTTTTCTTTCTTGCCGTGCTCTGTCTCTCTCTCTCTTTATCCCTACTCGATATTCTTTTTGCCATCCCCATCTAGTCGTCATCCTTTCCGGCTCCCATCCTCCTAGCTTCAATCCAATCTGGCAGTCTATCGCTGCCAGAGTGTGTCGAACAATCATCATGACGTCTCCTCTCAACTCTTCATCGATCCCCCCTATTACCGCTCTACGACAAGAACTCGATTACGGTGACCCCACACTGGCGAGGTGTCAAGCATTCTACGATAGCACGCGTCTCTTTCGGAAGACTTTCGTGAGCAGTCAAGGATGGGACGGCAGCTCCATCCATGACTGGAAATCAAGAGAGCATCAAGTTGCACTGGGCGAGATGGTTCGATCCTATCTCGAGCAGCACAAAAACGGAAGATTCTTCTGGCCGGACGACAAGTCATCAAGTCGCGCCAACAAATTTCAATATTCAACAGACAGTGGACGGTCAGTACATGCACGTTAACACTTGAGTACGACATTAAGCTGACCACCTTCAAGAATCAAGAGAGTCATGCGGCAGCTTTTCTGGCGATTGAATATCCAACAATTCCGCAACAGCAAATACAGGAGCAGAGGCAGGACGAGCGGCCCCAGGGAGAAGAAGGGCAGGGAGCCCAGTCAAGAACTGGGAATAGAGACAGACCATGATGTCGGCGTCGGCGCTTCCGCCAGTCGTGATGCTGCCGGAACACCTGCTACTCCAAGGTATGGTGATCATGTGTCCGGTCTTCCAGTATAAATTTTCATCTAACACAATGTATAGATCATCAACATTCATCAACCTGACCGACTCACCCCTCGCTGTCCAGACTGATGTCGTCAACCACGACTCGAGTGAGGCTCAAATACAACCTGCGATGGGGTTTAGGATTATCGAAGATCCATATCGTGTCCCTGACAGCCCAGGCCCGCGTGTCTTGCCTCCGCAGGTAGGTCCATCTGACTTCGGCTCGACCTGACCACCACGGAGCGTCACTGACATCAAAGTAGGACCAGCCCACATTTGCCGTCATCTCGACGGGCATTGACGACGATGGTCACCAAGTCGCCCCCGTCGCCAACATGGATCCATCCACAATGCCGCCCCGAGGCGACGACAGATCCTCCGCCCGCATGTCGAAGAAAAGAGCTGGGAAACAGCCCGCTGGCGTGTGTAAAAGCAGGATCTCCCCCCGTAAGCGCAAGTTGCGCAGCGTAAGGGATCAGGCGACAGAAGACGAAGTCCAAGCAGCAATACAGTCTCCGCAGCGCTCCCCAAGCCCCCCTGTCGTTGCCGGCCCCGCTCCGGCAGAGACGAACCACCGCGTCACCTCTGACATTGTCCCACCTTGGGATCGGGATCGAGCGAGTCGGCTGAGAACCATGAGTGAGGTGACGGATCAGGCATTCTCTGTGAACGGCTTTGTGCGTGAATTGGGCTCGGCGACTGGGCCTGAGCCAACCGAGCCCGGCAACACTACAAACCATGCAGAAGACTTGGCACAGCCGACGGCGACTAAGGCAACTCCCCAGCCGTCAATTGAAGTAAAATCCCCCACAACACGGGCGTCTCTGATTCCCTTGGTCTCCTCCTCAGTCCCGCCTGAAAACATAGGTGTGGTTGGGGAACGGCCCATTGAGAACAAACTCCTACTCCAGGCGACGCCTCCAGTGGGGCAACCACCCCGGGTTGAGTTCACGTATTGCGTGGTCTGCCGTTATCCCGAGCTCCAGAGCAAATCTTGGAAGCCGGAGGGCAGCTTCCGCAACAAGACACTGTCTAAGCTGGAAGAGGAGCTTCCTATTCACCTGGACTGGTCTCAATTCCAGTATCTGCATTTCGATCTAACGGCTCCAAATACGCACGCTGAACACCTGGTCCGGCACGGAAGTGAGGACCAATTTGATTTCATGAAACGGCAACTGGCTGTTATCATCCGGGATTGCATTGCTAATACACCACGCGGCAAGACAATTACGGTTGGTATTGTCATTGAGCCGTTGCCGGATGAGAATGCGTTGAAGAAATCGGCGGACAACGAAGTCATGGATTTCGAATGGTAGAGAATCATCAGGGGTTTGCTCCTGCATTGTGTGCGTGCTTACTTATGAAAAGGGCTCAGTGCCCAGGTGGCGGAATAATGCGGGTTCTTGAGTGAGTTTAGAGGCTGAGGCCATGTGCCCACAGACGTACTGTAATATTCTCTCTGCACTGTTATTGGCACTGTATTTTTTTTATGAAACGCTGGGTCTTGAGCGTTTATCACTGTATGAAGGCGCCACGTACATTTTATATGTATGGGGATTTAAATGCGAACCACTCGAGTTAGTTTTGAAACTTCAGGACTATTGCAATTTTGCTACTGCCATCAGCATTGTATGTTTCTCAAACCCTTGGTCTTCGAAAATCGACCGCGGTGTGAAGGCGTCGTATGTGGTTTTGTTCTTGGGACGAGGGACGAGGGACAAGGGACAAGGGACAAGGGACAAGGGACAAGGGACAAGGGACAAGGGATGAGGGACGAGGGAGGGACGAGGGACGATAGAGGGACGAGGGACGATAGAGGGACGAGGGACGATAGAGGGACGAGGGACGAGGGAAAAGGGATAAGGAAGAAAGTAAAAGAAGAAAGGCAATCTCATAATAGTACACATCCAGAAGGCATACACTCCCTTCGGACAGTAATAAACGCTCAGAGATAAATGGAAGGCGTCGTACATGACTTCGGATGCTCACGGATCATTTGAATGAGAACTACCCCGGTCAAGTGAACTCCAATTTTAAGCGCGGCTGTGCAGCTGGATGATAAGCATGTTGTTGTGCAACATGTTCAACTATGACGTCATTTAATCGCTTGGTGATGAAATCTTACTGAAGAAAATTCAACTGAAGACTTGAGAATCTTGATATTCAATTTGAGCCACGTTCTGGCTAATACTGCGATAATCGATGACAAAAGCACGCAAATTTCACACAGTGTCCACAAAGGGAGAGCAATGTTGTACTGTGCGACACTATAGGTGATTGTATCTTGCTCTTCAACACCTCCAGCTGTTACCTACCGTGACAGGGGGCACAACTGGCTTGGGGTGCTCTCCTAGGTTCTACCAAAGTACTCCTTGTAAAGTCGTCGAACGGGTCACCGATCCGAATTACACGGCAGCTCCATCGGTGGTGGCTGGGATGACATCTCAGCCAGTCCGTTCGAGTCGCGCGGCTTGAAAGCTGCGCGGGATGCGTATATTTCGGCTGATCCAGGAGGCGAGCTCCGGATGGTCCAGGCCCTACATCAGGGACAAGATCTTTAAAGGACATCGTCAAGTATAAGACTGCCTGCTGACGGTTTGCACTTTTGGCTATGGTGCGACGAAAAAGAGTGCGGCCGGGCGCGGATATGTGATCGCGGAGGTTCGCAATACTTTCTTCTTGTAACATAATCATAGACGGATTATTTATTGGCTCAACAGATACCCGGTTTGTAATCAGAAACGATCCTAGTTGTACCTAGGTACCATGACCACTTGTGAAAACATGGGAAGTAATTGCGCTTATATGACCTGTCACAACGTACCAGGGTCGTTTTTACCCAGAGTCATGACCAGCTCTTCCCACGTGGATCAACACCAAGAAGACTTCACCCGTCTCGTCCACCTCCCCACATTGTGGATCATCGCCTATACTGTCCCCCGTGTAACGTCGTGATTGTGGGATAAGCGCGGGGACGTAAATGCTTGATTGGGCCAGATGGAGTCATGGTGGATACCTCAAATTCAATAAAAGACCCTGTCACATACCATTGTGGAATCTTTTTGCTGGTCAATGCAGAAATGGTTGCCGGCAAGGCATAGTTATTGATCCACTGTGATAACAGTTGTGCACGTGGCTTCAAGATATAAAAATCACACAGCGCGGCCTTTTCCGTTCCAGACAGCGTAGTGACTGACAGTTATGCCCCTTTCTATTTCAGTGTAAACCATACGGATCACCGGTCCTATTCACAATGGCCCAGGTTTACCATAACAACTCAAGCGGGGCAGATGCGTTACACGGACCTTCGACATGGAGTCGCCAGTTCATCACGGTCCAAATTTTGATGTTAGTTCTAACTTTCGGCTTCATAACATTCATCCGGCGACGTTATTTCTCTCCAATCAGTCACATTCCTGGGCCCTTCCTCGCTTCCTTCTCCCGTCTCTGGCACATGCGCTACATCATAAGGGGCGACCAACAGGTGATGCTTGCGAAGGCGCATGAGAAGTATGGACCTTTTGTACGAATTGCACACGATGAAGTTAGCATATGTCACGAAAATGCCGTGAAGTCGTTGTTGATCACACCACTACACAAGGTTTGCTACATAAGAGTGGAAGTCTCGAGAATAATAGGACCCCACACTGACGTTCGCAGGGTACATGGTACAAGATTTTCGTGTTGCCCGACTACAGGACACCGGCGCCACTCGGATTCAGGGACCCAAAAGAAAAGCTCAGACTTAACACGCATTTCAGACAAGGGTACGACGCCAAATATGTCATTCGCTCGGAGTCTTTCATGGACGAGGTACTCGTCAAGATGTTCGCTTGGCTAGACAAGGCAGCGGAGGAGAAGACTTCCCTGAAACTGGGCGAACACTTCTCATATGCCGCCTATGATATCACAGGCGAGGTCACATTCTCCAAGTCTTTTGGGTTCACCGAAAAGGGCGAAGACATAGGAGGAGCAATCGCGGTTAACGAAGCCATGGAGTTGTTCTTCGTTCTCTTTGGCTACATCCGCTACGTCAGTTACATCTTCTGCAACCCGCTGACGACCTGGCTCGGTGTCTTGCCGCTTGGCTATATGGGAGACTTGGCCAAGAGCGCTCTGGCGGAGCGGAAGAAGAACCCAGATGCGCGATTTGACATTGCTGCTCATTGGTTCCGCGCTTTGGAGAACAACGGCCCGTCCAAGATTTGGAACGATGGTATGATTGTTGCTTCTGCCATATCGAATCTCGGCGCTGGGTCGGACACTGTGTCTTGTGCCATGCAGTACGTCCCAGTAACCACCTTATTGAACCTTCGTCGATGGCTAACTTTATGGTTACAGGAGCTTTGTGTACCATCTCATCCGCCACTCTACCGCATGGCAACGCATTAGAGAGGAGATTGAGGCTGCACAGAAGGAGGGTCGATGCATGGACCATATAATCACTTACGATGACGCAGTAAAGCTCCCATTCTTGCAAGCAAATATCAAGGAGGCTCTCAGAATATTCGCCCCCGTACCGAGTGAGTCTTTGATTTTGTTCTACGAACTTCGCGGCCCCAACTTGGCTTCATGGCTTACATGTCCATAGTGGGCTTGCCACGTGTCGCCCCTAAAGAGGGCGTACAATTCGATGACACCGTCTTTCCCGAAGGCACCGTACTCTCGTGCAACCCATACGTGCTTCACACTTCTAAAAGCCTCTGGGGGCCGGATGCTGCCGAGTTCAACCCGGATCGCTGGCTCGGACCCAACGCAGCGAGCCTAGAGAAACTGTTCTGTCCGTGGGGAGCTGGATGGGCCTCGTGTCCAGGTCAACACATCGCACGAATCCAAATGTCCAAGATGGCTGTGAGTTTGACCTACCTCGTTCGTTGCAGGAAGATCAGTGATACTAAATGGCAATTCCAAGGCAACCCTAGTGAGAGACTATAATTTCAAGCAGGTGGATCCAAAGGAGGAATGGGAGTACAAAGGTTTGTACCGATCTCGAATACGTATGTTGCAAGCAAAACTGACATTCCTGCTGCAGCTTATTTCACTGTCGTTCCTCACGGGTGGCCTGTTCACGTGAACAGGAATGATTCTTCGAGTATCTAAAATGGGATGTGAAAGCAACTCAGTCTGACTGGCCTGTATGGGTGAAAACTGTAGACGGTGGTTTTCAATACCGGATGGTGCCGTGAGCAGGGGTACTTGGGCGATCATTCACAAATTTCGCAATTATGGGCGACGACTCGAGCTAACTTGGGAAAATCAACTTCTTCTATTCTAGCCTAGGACTCATTGCTAAAAGCCTCAGGACATGGACTAAATGATCTTCCTGATTTGGCAATAGTCCATGCATCCTATGGATATGTTCCGTCCACGCTTGGATAAATGCCCCAACCATTTCCAAGTTCGCCTAATTCATGTTCAGCTCTGCCTTGGGAAAGAAAAACTCCCAATTTCCCCAGCCATAATTCTCGAGGTCGACCCTTGCACGTTGATGGGGGCCTCGAGTTCCCATAGGTACGTACACTGCGATATCGCGCACGAATGGCAACGGGTTCTGGAAGCCAGGAGCCCGAAGCTGGGTTGAGGCAACCGCCTCCATGGTCTGGAAGAAGTACACGTAGCCCGTCACTTCTTTATCCGATATGCAGGTGTACCATCTACCTTGTATGTCTGAGTTCGTTCTCAATTTTGGATGAGATTTGCCTCAAGGCCCGTGATCAGTAATCGTCAACCTCAAAAATACAAGGAGTCTCGCCATTGTAGATGGAAAGCGCCTTGACTCGAATCTGTTCGTTGACTCGGGTAATATCAAACTGAGTCTCCAAGGGAGGGGCCTCCAGGCAGAGGAAGGTGGGCCCGGATGAAGGCCAGAAAAGATACCGGTAAATTATGTTGCGCATTTCCCCTGGGACCAGGGAAAAATGGAAATGGCTATGCAGGCCAAGTTATTAGCCTGGGACTCTGGTCTCGCTGACGAGATCAAGTCCATTCCTTGACATTCATCGTTGACGCAGCATGCAAGGGACTGACCAAACTACTTTGTCTTGCCTGTCAAGACTCTCTCGGGTGTTGACCAATAGAGCAAGTGTATTTCCTTTCTTGGAGACATGGCTGAGAGTAAGGATTGTACTTGCACTGATCAATTACAAATAATGCAGGCAACAGGCTGTTCACCTCCGTTCATCCTTGTTCGAAAGTCAGAACAGTGTGACTATGGTCCTAACCTTGGAACTACCCCCAACTGGGCTGGTGTGGGTCTTGGGAGTCATCTTGACGTCTTGGCATCATATCTCAAAATCAATTCATAATCGGCTATTAATTCCGGAATTTTCGACCCTGTTCCCCGAGACTTACATCCAGCCTGCCTCTCTGGCATTTGTACGTTCCCTGATGGTTACGGATCCGCCGGTTGGTGCAGTATATGCACCGGCATCTCAGAGCAGGTACCTCATAATTCGACAGAAAGCCCGAACAACTTTTTCTAGAGGGCCAAGGCTAAGAATCAGAAGACAACAGCACATGGCTTAGCTATAATCTCGCAGTTCTAGCGCAGCCAGGGCACCATACGCCGGAGATGCGTATCAGACGTGCTATCTAAGCAGTTTCAGTTATCATTGATAGCAAAGTTTTAAACCATTAGGTTTCTTTGTAGACAATAATTCATACAAAGCGTCAAGAGGTGAGCACATAAGAATATAAACTGCCCTGTACCCCTCATGTTCGTCCGCCTTGATGGGTTGAATGCTGAGAGGCAGTCACAGGCTTCAAGTGAGGGACTTACGGCAGTCGAAAAAAGAGCCCAAGGTATACACGTGCGACTTGAGATAACGGCCAGCGGTTGGAATTTAGTTGTTATTGGTCATGCGTAGTGGCCGGTGGGATGATACAGCGTTCTGGTGATCGCATATCTATTAATTTCCGTCATGATAGAGACTGTCTGTGTGCAAGGAATACACGGAGGACAATCGAACTCCTCTGATCTTGGCTCCTCCGTCAACATAGTATGGGGAAAAGTCTAGTTGAATTTCTTGGACACAGTTGCCAGAACGTTCATTGATGCAACGAACGACCTGGGTTAGGCTCTGCTGGCTGCTTTGACTACCGCAACGAGTAGGATCTGTCCAACCGAGAAGACTCGGAGTTAACAGATGTCAAGCTCAACAGACTGTTCGATGTGAGGAATATCTGCGCCCCGATCTACGCCGGGATGCTTCAAATATACATCGTGTGTGTTCAGGGGTCCGACCTTCGGCTACCCCTTCCTATAAAGGTATACCGTCCCCACACCCCGCAGTAGCCCAAACCTTGCCACATATTTTCGACCTCATCAGCTATCGAGAGCCTTGCAGGGTTACCCTCATCTCCACCACCGCGCCCGTGCACCTTGCCCGTGGAAACCCCGCCTTCCGGAGCTGCGAACCACACGTGTCTGCCAATGATAGTGCCGGGACCTAATATCCAAGGTAAACTTGTTCCTTATCTGCGGCCCAATGGAAGCCGATCATCGTGCGAGCTTTGATAGGGAAAGCCCGCCCCAAGATTGTAGGTCGAACTTTGGAAGTCTGACCACGATACGAAGCCCCGGTAGCCCAGACGTCCGGGCTTCAGCAGGCAACCCGGTTCCTTGGGACGCAGATAAGCATGCAACGTTAGGTGGTAATGGCCCGCTGATGGTCAGTATAATAATCGGGTAGCTGCAGCTGACGCTGCAGCAGCGCATTTGACACTTGCCCATTTGTCCCTCGTCACACACGTGCCGCTTCAGAAATCCCATCGATAGACAACGATACATCCGAGAATATGGACATCGCCTCGGGAGGATCCGCCACGAGGCGGCTCATCAGGAGGCTGGAGGTAGCACCTCCAAAGGGCAGCACCTACGCTGTCACCACCTGGGTCAACGCCGACCTCATTCCAATGGACAGCTCGAGGAGAACCTGGAACGGATGGAAGTACATGGTGTACTGGGCAACTGGAGGCAAGCTCTCCGATCCACAGTACCAGTCGAATGTGGCCACACCTCTCTAATACTTGCACCTCATGTATCCAGGCTTTGCAATCTATAACTACAACACAGGCTCCGCCCTCATTGCGTACGGCTTGAGTGCCAAGCAGGCACTTGCGGCGGGAATCCTCAGCCCCTTGGTCCTGGTTGCTATGTGCATCCTGTGCGGTGTAAGTCGCCCGTTCAGGCTGGGCCTCTCTTCAAACGGCCCTTCACATACCATACGACCTCCCTGTTGACAGTGCCCCTCCAACACTGCAGTGGCCCGGCGGGTCTCACCACATCACCTTCACGGTGGTTTGTCGGATGGCCTGGGGCATGCGCGGCAGCTGGTTTGCGATCTTCTTCCGGGTGATGCCGGCGGTTGTCTGGGACGGCATCGAGGCCTGGTGGGGAGCCCAGGCTATATCGACGATGATCGGGACATGGTCCATTCGCTGGGCGAATTGGGAGTATCCCCTAGCCAATGGCACGATGGAGCTGAAAGACTTTATCGGTTTCATCATCTACCATATCGTCTTTCTGGGGGTTATGTGGCTGCCTCCAGAGAAGCTCCATCGTCCATTCCAGGTCTCCTTTGTTGGTTTCACCATCGTCATCCTGGGCCTTGTCATTTGGTCGACTCATGGAGCTGGAGGTGGTGGTGAATACTTTGCGAGTGATTATAATCCTCCTCCGGCGCTGGCAGGCTCCATAGGTAAGATGCCACCCCCTCCCCAACAGAAATGTTTCATAAGAGCATCAGCTGACATTGTGAAGGATGGGCTGTCATATACGGCGCCACCGCAGTCCTGGGAAACACAGCGGTTGTGACCATGGGCGGATCCGCATGGTGTCGCTTCGCTAAGGACAACCGCCGATCCATGATCGCACAAGGAATCGCCTGTCCCATATTCATCTACGCCGCATTCGCCCTCGGGATCTTGGTGACTTCAGCCTCAAGCAATATACTCGGAGAAGCGTACTGGCAGCCGTTCCTCCTACTACGAGGGATCCAGTCGCACTACAACAACTCTGCACGATCCCGAGCTGCTGTCTTCTTTGCTTCTGCAGCTCTGGCGTTGTCGCAGGTCACCGTCAACATGATCTTGAATAGTGTCGCTGCTGCTATGTAAGCCTGTTCCTGGGCCTGCCTTCGGGCCCTGATTCTCTTGTGGATGCAAGTCGACTGTATTGTTTACGTACTGATGAGATGTCCTGTCTCGCAGGGATATGGCAAGTTATAGCCCGAAATGGCTTACGATCCGACGGTGCAGCTACATCATTGCTGCCTTGGGAGTTGTTACAAATCCTTGGCAGATAACAACTACTGCGGCCACGTTCATTCAGGTCAGTTGGTTGTGATCACTTCCCAGGATCACTTTGACTAAAGTCTTATCCATACAGGTTATATCAGGGTTTGGAACGTTCTACGGACCACTATCCGGCATTCTAGTAGCAGACTTTTGGATCGTTAGAAAACGCCTGATCAAGATGAGAGATCTATATATCGGCAATGAGGAGAGCATATACTGGTACTGGAACGGGTCAGTGAACTTCTCGGATGTTCTCGGAGAATATCACTGACTACCGAACAGATTCAACTGGCGCGCCTTCGTGACATTCGCCGTATCAATCGCACCCGCGCTCCCCGGTTACATCATGAGCTGCGCAGATATCAACGGGGAGCCAAACAACGCCATGAAGCTCTCAAGGCTTGGTTTCATCATCGGATTCGTGGTGGCCGTGGTAGTCTATCCTATCTTGAGCTTCGTCTTCCCGCCAAGAGGTCTAGGCGAGGGAGTGGACCACCATGATGAAGACATGTTCATCCTGCCAAGCGCGTTTGATCAGAGCAAGCCTACGCAGGGCAAGTACTCGATCGTTGAAGGCGTGGCTGATGTCGAGTCGAGGGACAGCGACAAGGGCTGCGCCGAGAAGAACGGGGTTGGGCCAGAGTGAACAAGTGTGTTGATCTTGGGCTGTAATGGCCTTTGTTGTTTAGGTCGACCAGATATTGAAAGATTACCTATACACCTGAGGACGCTCAAATGTAAGTCTTTAAGACGTTTCCCTGGCTTTTCAATACCACAGGGCTTCTATGTAAGTCTTCTGCCACCATGGGTGCTTGCCTGCGCAGGGCTGCCTGGATGACTACCTAGGTAGCCGCCCAACAATATAAATGCCTTCTCCCCATGGCTTACACGAGCAATTAGCAGACTAGGGCTAGAGGCACGGTTCCAACTTGTCGTCAATGCTCATCTGGGAATGGAATAATCGGCCTATGCCGTCGGAGCTAAAAGAAACTAAAGCCTAAAGAACTTGCCTTTTCAGGAGCCGAGAACAATGATGAAATAAGGACTATATCTGTGTATATACAAGCGGGTAGATAAAAGGGACTATGTTCCCTGCCTGTATTTGTCTGACTTATTCCCTCTTCTAACTTATCTACGATCTCTCCACCAATTGTATTTTAATTTTAATTATCGACATCATCTTTTCCTTTCCTTTTTTTTTTTTTTTTAAAAAAAAAAATGCTGGGTCTTGAGTGTTTACTACCGTATGAAGGCACCATGTATGTCCTTGGATGTATACGAAATAGAAGCGAAACCATTTATTACATAATGACGTGATACAGGTCTTTATATGTATGAGGATTAGATCGAGAGCTAGATGAATCGTATTTCAACTAATCTCGGGCTTCATTATATTGGTACCTCAAGTTTGGAAGCCCCCTTCCGACTGACAGGTTTCAAATGTTAACTACTTCAAGATACCCTAGGGTATCAAACTTAAATATACCTCCCCGTCAGTAATACAGTGATGACGACTGATTTTGTTAACTTTGGATTAAGGCGAGCGAGCAAACACATTACGCGAGCTACCTCGCTCTCTGTTCCCTCGACTCCGCGGCGCACCCTGTCGTCCCCGACGAGTTTGGCGGCGGCCGTGATGTTGTCACACGAAGTTGCCGCCTCCAAGAAAGCCTTGCCGACCTGCACCTCATCGTCCCAGCTAAGCCCTTCGGTGTTCATCTTTTGATGGCATCCGCAGCGTGTACGGGGTGGCTCTGTGGCGGACATCTTTATTGTCAACCCGACCGCAGCGGGCCAGGTCCCGCTGCTCACATCCACGCGGAGATACATGCTCTGGAGATAGCGCAGGCTGTTGGTTTGGATACCGCTGCCTGGCCTGGGGACAAAGTTGCCCAGTCTGTCTGAACGGAGATATGGAGTTCCTCCGTGGTACCATGTCTGATCGTCATTGTCGCGGGGGCGTTTGGCAACGTGTACCCAATTCACGATGTGGCTGTGATAGTAAATTCCCAAAGCCTCGTGGCGTATCTCTCTGTTGACTCGGGTTATAGGTGGTTGCTCAAAGGTGAAATAGGTGAACCAGAAGAGGAATCCGTAAATTTCGTTTCGAAGCTCCCCCGGCAGTAGAAGGAGAGGGGAGGCGTTCTACCTAGGTACACACGGATTAGTGTTCCATCTACATTTGAGGCCACATGAATTGGCAGATCAATACGCCGGGAATGGAAATAGCAGCCATACCTTGCTCGTAGGTTCCGCGGTGACGTCCGGCACGTCGCCCTCGTGTTCACGATCTCGCTGACACTATCCAACCAGGATTGTTAGCAGCAACATCACGAAGTGCGGGGAAGTTCCTGATTTACCTTCGTGCCGAACTCAGACAGCTGGTCACGCTCCGGGCTAGACCGTCTCTCGACAAAATCTTTAGAATCGGATTCCTCCTCTCGGGAATGATCGCAGGCTGCGTTGGTGTCCATGATGTTCGGGTTGTGACGTGTGCGCTGGGTGTGGATGTCGCTGGCGCGGTCGGTTGTGCGGAGAAATATTGGAATGTTGAATTTGGAATAAAATGTTAAGGCTTTGATTGGCGCGAGTATTTTCGCATAAGGTCACGGAAAGTGACGAGCTTGCAACGCGCATGAAAGCTAAGATGCTAGTGAGGCCATCGTCGCGCCAGTCAGGTCCAGCCGGGCGCCGGCTGATTCACATTCGCGTCCTATATCGCATCGTCACAAAGCCACTTGTCACACATGTCACGAGATATGGAGAGTCTTGAGCTGACAGCGTATCCGCAGAAACGTTACTCGTTTGGCCCTCGGGAGCTTCCGGTGGGATAGATGCTAAGACGAGCCAGGCGAGCAAAGGTTATTTGTTACATCCCCATTCAAACCCCAGGTCTTGGCCCTACCTAGGTAGTGAGGCGTGGGCCCTCACGCTTGCAATTTACCAATAATCAAGCCCGAATTCCTCCTCGTCCATGCTCCAATCCGCATGGAAATGAACCTCCCGGATAACGCCTGGACACTCGTTCGCTACCATGAGGACGGTGCTGATGAGGCGACCCACACACGTCTCAGACATGGCTGCGCGATCCTGCAGAGCCTTTGCGACGCGTTTGTAGACATGGTCCCGCTTTTTCATGAGATGCCCCTTCGTCGTCCGGAAGGCAGAGCACTTGTCCCATACCGTACAGCTGGCCTGCTTCAGCGTGTGTCGCCCGTCAGGCACCGAGAAGATGACCTGCAGGGTGTCGAAGCTCTGCCTGGTCGTGCCGCAGTCCTGGGTGAAGGAGATGTCCCTCAAGAACTGCAGGCTTCCTGTGCCCGGGCGGCCCTCGACCCTCCCGGCCTTGAAGACGCGGAACATCCTGATGAAGTCGGCCCAGTGATCGGGCTCGAGCATCAGCCCCTTGGGTGGGATTTCGACTTGGAATCGGTTGTTTCCGTAGTAGATTGGGAGAGACTCGGAGCGGACCTGTCGGTTTGTGCGTGCGAGGGGCGGCTGCACGAGACCGCGGATGCGTTGGTCTGGGGATGACTCGATGAGGGAGAACCGGTATATCGTGTTACGGATCTCGGCGGGGAGGTCGAGAAAGGACAGGCATGCCGCTGGTGTGGCCTTGGACTGTGTCAGCTGCCTGGATTTCGAGGTTGTAGCGTGATGATTGGGAGTGAAAAGCGCACCTGGTCATCCAAAGCAGAGACGCTCTGAGCGGTGGTCGACTTGGTCATGGCGACGGCACTGGCTTCGGCTGCCATGACCTCTGGTGTTGATTGGGCGCAGATACAGGCTGAGACCCCCAAGATTTGAAGAGTGCGTTTTGTAGGTTCAGCACTTGACGACAAACAAAGGCAGGCAGGGCAAGGGTGACTGCAGCAAGTGCGTGCGGGCAAACCACCACAATGCTTGCCTGGCCCCTGCATCTGCTTGGTTTGTTTTGGAACCTGCCAGACTTTGTACCGTTTCATCTTCTGAACGTTTACAAACGGAAGAAACTCCCTACCACCTTCTTCGGCACGCATACGGCTACCTAGGTACATGATGTATCACCAAGGAGGGTAGGAAGCAGTATCTACCTATCTAGGTAGGTACCTAGGTACCCACCTTCTGTCAACAAACATCAATGATGTCTGTCGCGTCTAATCCACAATGCTCGGCCGATTGATGTTTTGAACTGTCCACCATCCATCTCGTCTCCGCTACCACTATTAAGTAGCATTTTCAAACAGAATACAATATACAAATCTCGTTATCCACTAAACCCCCCCTACCAACGAACATCGCTCCTGTACCGATTTCTCCTGCCGCATCGAAATAACCGGCTCGACCGAGCCCGGCATATGGCCCGAGACAGGTGTGCAGGAGGACGAGGAGCCGGACGAGGAGCAGGACGAGGACCAGCAGCAGGAGGACCAGCAGCAGCCGCAGCAGCCGCACCCACGCCTACAGAAACGGAACGGAGCCTTGGAGCTGAGGCACATAAACCACAACAACGGGGCAGGAAGAAGCCCGCCAGAATGACGAATTCAAGCCCGCGGAGGTCGGCGCCAAGTACGCTACATACTGGATTCCAACATCGTTTATCAAGACTAAAGGTATAAAACTTGGCTTCACAGAGGTAGTCGTAACTCACGATCACGATACTGGTACTATAAGTACCACAAGAATAATTAGAGTAACGACAAGACGTGACTAAATACGAACAGGAGACTAGTAGTAAGTGGACTGTGAATTAATTTACTTCGCACAAACTTTGACCCTTTGGGTACCTATAATAACAACTAACCGTTACCGTTGGTACAGGGAGAATCATTGGTGAAGCCGAGTACCTCAATGTACATAGAAACCTAGTTTTTGTACGGCCCACCGTCGGGTACAACTCGAGGAAGAGGTTATCACTGGGAGACACATTGTGCACACAAAAGCTCGTCCAAACAATGAGTGGCTGATTCCTGACCGCAGGACCATCGCACATAGTCCTTGCCCCTCAGATCACCCTTCTCTCAAAGTAGATCTGCAGAATTACAAAGATCGATCTTCATACAAAGGATCATGAGCATGAAGTCTTCCAAAACAACAGTCAAGCATATTCCGAGATGGGACCGCAAATTATTCTCGTGGTGTCAACTGCAGCCACGGCTGCACAGCTCGACCACCAACCAGGCATCATCACAAGATCGGAATTCGAAAGCCACAATGATATGTCCACCGTATCTAGCCATGTCATCAGCTCTGGAGTTCTGTGAGGGCTCGAACCCAACAAGAAAAGCCAAAAAATGAGGACCAAATACGGTCACGAATGTTATCAACGATATTGTCGTTCTAATACAAAAAGGACAAGCCCTTTGCATAATGGAGATGAGACCAGATATTTGCACCCGGAAAAATGGGGGGTGCACCCAAGCCCTAAGGGATAAACTCCTATAGGATAACCTCCTCTAGGACAACCTCCTACAGGATAACCTCCTATAGGACAACCTCCTATAAGGTAACCTCCTATAGGATAACCTCTTCTAGGATAACCTTCTTTAGGATAATATTCTATAGAATAAGTATATAAGATAACTAGTTTAATACTAACCTAAGTATTCTAATCTCTATATTATCTAGTATAGGTATACCCTCTGTTTTCGCGGATGTGAATATCCGGTCTCATAGAGATTCCGTCAAAGACTCGTCCGGAATTCAAGCGATTCTATCTTAATGTGATAATAAGAACACAAAACATTTACTAGGTCAACTGTCGAGGGCGTTGCGCAAGTAGAGTGCCAAATAAGGTAGCAAAAGCAAGACCTGGGACTGCTGGCACTTCTAGGGCTGCATTAGGTTAGTTGATTGCGCAAATAGCACCGTGGGCCAGAGCAGCAACCCGGCCCGGGCAATATGGGTCATTAACTTAATCATGAACAAGCTTCTCGTTAATACTAACGGAGTAATTGCCACAGTGGTTTTTGGTGCCCTTGCCGGTAAGTGAAGGGGACATCCATTCCTGATTTCTCTATGTAATCCTAGCCTTTTTATTACGCTCCCTAAAGATACGGCCAATTCTATGCGAATGGCTTGGTGGTGCGTTTCGTGCGGAGACGCTGACGCATTTCCTCAATATGCTGCTACGCGAAGACCGGACCCGAGGCTGCACGTTTCAGTCGGAACTCCTTAAGTTGTGCTCGCCGCTTAACCAGAAGGAGAAGCTGAGCAAGTACGGGCTTAGTGCTACTAGTACTGATCGCATCAAAAATTACCTTGACGCCCAAGAGTCCCCGGTCACAACAGAAGCTACGAGCAGTGACGCCGCACGCGGGAGGGGCCGCGGCACCGAGACAATATGCATGCGTTGTGACGCGTTTACAGCATCCAATCGAACATTATCACCCCAACATCTCCAATTAGCTCCTAGGCGGACACATGCAAGAAACTGCAACAATAGTATCCTGATATGGAAGTAGCCCACTATCCCGCATAAGCGTCGGGTGTCAGGCCACTTGTTGGTAGCTTAGAATGCACGTAACTGCACTTTTGCATGGTCAGCAGAATTAGGCTGCCGTGCACAGCCCTGCCACCAGCTATCAAATTGAGTCGCGGGATTCATATCCTTTCTTTACCCGTGCAGTTAGATCGCTGTCGTGCAACCTGAAAGGTACGTTTAGTCATTCATTCCTGCGGGGCGGGAGTTTTATCTGTTGCAAAAAGAATCCGGCGCGAAATACAGCAGAAGGTTTCTGACACATTGCTTGCTTGCTTCGATCTCCAAAGGGTAACACCAACCGATATGGACCCAATCTCGGCCCTGAGTCTAGCGGCGAACATCTTCGCCGTCATCAGCTTTTCTGGCGAGGTGTTAAAGACCGCGAGACAGATCCATGCCAGTGGGGCGACTGAACACCACACTGAGCTCGCGGTGCTTGCCACCGGCATGCGGGGCACAGCAAGACGTCTGACCGTCTCGCTTAGAAGCTCACAGAACGATGTGGACGACACCCGTGTGAAAAAAGCTGACAGGGAGCTGATCCAACTTGCCCTTGAATGCGAGAAGCTGGGGTCCCACCTATCCAGCCTGCTCGACACCATCGGGTCCACGGAGTCATCGAAATGGGGAACGATAAGGAAGACGTGGCAGACGATTCTGAGCAAGAGTGAGATAGAGAGGAAGGAAAAGAGCCTAGAGGCAATGCGTGGTCAGCTAAACCTCGGGATCACGGTCAGTCTCCGCGAGAGGATCGACGCCGAGGCAGACTTGAGCCGCGACAGGTTCAGGGCCCTCGACAAACAGACAAAAGACATCGCTATGAACTTTCTTCAAAGTCAGCACGGTATGAACGCGATCATGCAACAACAGACAAGAAATCATCAAGAGATCATGGCCAGACTAAATGGCCAGAATCACCCATCAGACCCAGATGGAGATTATTACAGCCCCCGCGCCTCAGCTTCACGGGCTATGATGCGCAAGCTCCATCGAGTAAAGCGTGTCTTTCATAGCTCGCTCTGGTACGAAACGATGGAGGACAGAGAGCAGACCATACTTCCCGCATACAACCGCACGCTGAACTGGATCTTCAAGAGCGAAGGCTCGCCTAGACGAGAAAGATTACCCTGGGATGACTTCAACAACTTTTTGTCTAAGGACTCCGGAACCTACTGGGTGACCGGCAAGGCAGGTTCTGGCAAGAGCACCCTGATGAAGTTTGCCAATCTCAACCCGAGTCTAGATGCTGCCCTGCAAACGTGGGCTGCTGGACGCCCGCTAGTCAAGGCCTCTTTCTACTTCTACTACTTGGGAACGACCATGCAGAAGTCTCTTGCTGGACTGTTGAGGTCAATAGTCCTAGCATTGATCAAAGCCGATCAACATTCCGCGAACGAACGGAGGAAGCCTTCCAAAAAGAATGGGGTCGTCAGCGCCAGGGATGATCCTACAATCCAAGATCTGGAAGATTCTATGGCAACCATCAAACTTGGCTTCCCCGAACGGTACGACTTTCTCATGTCGTCGACTGAAAATGCAGAGCTATTTCAGCCAACCCTACCCGAGCTAGAAACTGCATTGGAGAACATCATCAAAGGATCACCAGATACGTGCTTCTTCCTCTCGATCGATGGTTTGGACGAGTACGATGCAGGGACGGTCGATATGAGCCAGCTAGTCGAGTCCATGAAGGCGATCTGCAAGTCCAGGAATGTCAAGTCAGTTCTGTCCAGTAGGCCGTGGCCAGTCTTCGAGGACGCGTTCGCCCAATGTCCGAAACTTCGTCTTCATGACCTTACTCACGCCGACATACGGTTCTACGTCACGGATAAGATGAGATCTCACCCTAATATGCAAGATCTATTGGTATCTTCCAAGGAGGAATCAGACGCTTTGATCGAGGAGGTTATTGAAGCGTCAGCCGGTGTCTTCCTCTGGGTTCGACTGGTCATTCAAGACCTTTTAGAAGGGCTGATTAATAGCGACAGTATACCAGATTTGCAAATACGTCTGCGTGGGCTACCAAAGGACCTTGAAGAACTTTATGGCGTTATGCTAAGAAGAACACCGGCCGCATACAGGACTCAGACGTCACGTCTCCTCCAGCTCGCCTTGTCAGGGTGTAAAGACGAGTGGGAATTGAGCCCTCTAGGCCTTCACTACGCATTAGAGTTGGACGAGGATGCGGTATTGCGGGCTCCTAGAAAGCCTCTGACCAGATCTGAGAAGAGGATCGCTCTCAAAACTCTGGTCCGCCGTCTCCAGAGCCGATGCATGGGGTTCGTGGAGGTGATCCCGTTCCAGGCCAAGACGCTGGGAAATAGATTCTTCAAGCCCAGAACAGCTTCTGTCGGGCCAGACAGGTACGACAGTGGAGAAAATCTCAAGGTCGTGCGTTTCGTCCACCGGTCAGCCACAGACTTCTTACTCAAGCCAGACATGTGGCGCGAGTTTGTCGAGGAATGGGGAGCAGCAAAAGTATCTGATTTCGACCCGTCAACTGCATTGATGGCCTCAGCGGTACACGCAGTGAAGAGGTTCCGCTACGACACCACCCAAGAGTCCCTGGATACTCTGGGCCGACTGGCCCTCTACGCCGGCCGACGAGCTCTTCTGGCCGAGGAAAGTACCGGGCTAGCCTCCCCGAGACTTTTGCTTGAGCTGGATCGGGTGATGAAAAGATACTACGAGAAGTTCAAGGACAAACACGAGACACAAGACGTGCGCAACTACAGGCTCCTCGTCGCCGCTCACCAAAATCCATCCCCGCCAAAGTGTTCGATCTGTAGGGTATCCTTCCGTACGCATTGCGACTGTCATTGGTCAACGCTCTGCTTTGACGGACCGGGCCGGAGAAGGACGATTATGTCATTCGCTGCTTCGTTGAGGCTACTGTATTTCTTAAGGTATCAGATTTCCCAGCATGGGCGAGGTGTCATCAGGCAGGAAGGCAAACCTCTTCTGGCATACACAAAGACAGTGCTGTTCCAGGGCAATACTGTGTTGGCGGAAGACCACCGGGTTAGGAGGACGTTAGAGGACGACGGATCTCTGCAGCGGCTGGGATGGAAATGGCGGCAGTGGAACGCAGACAGAATTTCGCGGGGTCTGGAAAATCACCAGACACACCGCGGCTGTGGTGCTGACCTCCTGGCCAATTGGCATTTCCCCGCGTTGACGTTGTTCACTAAAGGAAGAAGACCAAAACGTCCAGACCGAGCCGGGGTACATATGTAAGGGAATGATAGCGCCTACGAATGGCCTCTTGCGGCGTCCGAGGCTAGATACGTCCAAAGAAATGCTATTGTACCTAACATCAGATCAAATTATCCCCTCCAGTATTACTATAGCCCCAGACTTTGCTTTAGACCAACCATACCGTGTGTTGGTGGGTATTGGAGATAGTCACTGTGACTACCTATATACCTCTTACTACCTCTTAACTATTACACTACTTCTCTTTCTTTAAGGCTATCACTATAATATTCATCTCAATTTAACAATCACAATAATATATATTATTAAGCCTAAATAATCCTCTCTAAATTTTAAGGTTATTTTAAAGGCTTAAAATAATTATAAAGTAAAAAGGGTTATAAAAGTAAAAATAAACTTATTAGAGAGGCTCCTTCCTTCTAAATAACTCTCTTTTTATTCCCCTATAATTAGTCTCCTACTTAAGTAAGCTAGCTAGCTAAAAAAAATCCCTTCCTTTCCCTTTCTATTAGGTCTTTTTTTAGCTTCTTAACTTCATTAACCCTACTTCTCTAAATCTTCTAAATACTCTAGTTTTAAATCTCTAGATATAATTAATTCTAACTAACTTAACTTAAAGGAGGAAGGTAAAAGACTTAATTAAAGTTAAAGAAAGGAAAGAAGAAAGAAAAAAAGGGAAAGAAGTACTCCTCTACTCTTTATATAAGAAAAGGTATAAAGACTTCTTTATAACTATTCTCCCTTCTATAAATCCTTCTATAAATCTATTTCTTCTCTTTATAACTACTTCTTCTCTTAACAACCCTCTCTTTTATAAGTCCATTTAACCGTAAAGAAATTACTAAAAAGCTAAATAATTATCTATACTATAAAACTACTAATTATATTAAGTATATCTCAAGTCAGTTTTATAAATAAGGGGTTTCTAAAGGGAATAATAGCTATAATAACCATCTCTAATACCCACTAACGCATGATATAGAATAGAGGATACAGCCGGTCATTTTTAGGCATACCAATAGTGCCTGGTCAGAAGCCGCCTTATGTTGATCTTAAGGTGAGTCTGGGTCTATGTGGACTTGGACTGGACAGCTGTGTGACGGACCAAGGCAGATATACCTAATCATTTAGAATACTCGGTTCGTGCTGCGATATATTTCCCTCGCAGTGTATCGAAAGTTGGCAGGGGCTAATTGGTTTTTCTCTTAATACGTATACCCGTGGGTTCGCTCTCGCTCCGAGGAACCCACTGCTGGCGCAGTGGGTGCCAAAACCCCCGCACGGCCAAAACCCCCACACACTTAAGAAAAATAAAACACTATACTTAACTTAGTCTAACTTACTTAATAAAAATAGTATAAAGTAAAAAAAATAGTTATATAAACCTTATTTTTTAAGGAATTTAAATAAAATAGGTATAAAATTCTAGAGTTAAAGTTTAACTAAATTTTATTACTTTTTAATATTTATATAATTATAAATATATATTTTAAATAATTTTATATTAATATAAAAATATATTATTATAATCTTTATATTATAAAGTATTTATAAAATATAATTAAAAATCTAAGGTTAAGGTTTTATAGTAAATTTTAAAAGAATATATTATATTATTTTATATATTTTTCTTACTTATTATTTACTATTAAATTAAAATAAATATTTTTAAAAATTAAAGTAATTAAAAATAAACTTTATTTAAATTTAATTTTATTATATAACTTATAAAATAACTTTAATAAATAAATATATTAATTTTAAATATATTTATTAATTAATTTATTATATTTTATAATTTTAATTAATAAAATTAATATAAAATAATTAATATAAATATAAAAGTAATTTTATTTTAATATATATATATATATATATATATAATTAGTTTTATTTAATTAATTAAAAATATTATTTATAATTAAATTTATAATATAATTTATAAAATATAATTTTATTATATTTATTTAATAAATACTTTAAATTTAATATAATAAATTAATAAGTAAATTAATAAAATAAATAAATAAATAAATAAATAAATAAATAAATAAATAAATAAATAAATAAAATTAATAAATAAAATTAATAAATAAAATTAATAAATAGAATTAATAAATAAAATTAATAAATAAAATTAATAAATAAAATTAATAAATAAAATTAATAAATAAATAAAAATTTAATAATTTAAAGTTAATTATAATTTTAAATTAAAATAATAAAGTAAAATATTAATATTTAAATTATTAAATAAAATTATTAAATAAAATTATTATATAAAATTATTATATAAATTTTTAAATAGAATTAATAAATAAATTAATAAATAGAATTAATAAATAAAATTAATAAATAAAATTATTACTTTATTTATTTTTTATTTTCTTTACTTTATATATTTTATTTATTTTCTTTACTTTATATACTTTATATAAGTTATAAAACCTAACCCTAGGTTTTAAATATTATTTTATAAATACTCTTTATATTATAAGGATTATAATAATATATTTTTATATTAATATAAAATTATTTAAAATATATATTTATAATTATATAAATATTAAAAAGTAATAAAATTTAGTTAAACTTTAACTCTAGAATTTTATACCTATTTTATTTAAATTCCTTAAAAAATAAGGTTTATATAACTATTTTTTTTTACTTTATACTATTTTTATTAAGTAAGTTAGACTAAGTTAAGTATAGTGTTTTATTTTTCTTAAGTGTGTGGGGGTTTTGGCCGTGCGGGGGTTTTGGCACCCCCTACGCCTGCCGGCGTAGGGGGCAACCGAAGGTCTGACCCCCGGGTACAGGAACTGGTATGGTCCCATCGACCGACATCTTAGTTGAAATTGAACACGATGGGGACCAGGATGTAGAGAAGAATAAAATGAGTTATTGCAGCAAATGCAAGTGGGAGATTCCCTTTCTTTAATGGATTGCCATGTCCTAGGATTGTCGTATTATTGCTTGCTAAGGTAGGTGCTGTAGATCCGGGTAGTCGAACGTATCATAAAGGCTCTGGTCTCCAGCAGGGCACTCGTGCGCCTCGTCACCATGGGGACGTGCTGGGGTGAGGAGGGGCCGGACACCTGTGTGTGGTGGCGAACGGGAGCCGGGGTCGCGTTGCCGACGTTGCTGTTGTTGAAGTTCAGGGCCTGCTCCCTGTCCTTCCAAGCCTGTTAAAAAGTGTTGAGGCCTGTATTGCCCCTGCGCGAGGATGGCAAGGGGTGCCGATGAGGGGTGGGACTCATGTTCTCGGTGGCAGGACCGACTTGGAACCATATTCTCATGCAGCCTGCTTGGCCTTGTCATCTGCAGGTCCATCCGCTCCTCCGGAGAAATGGTTGTACTTGGCGTACTCTGACGCTTCCTCCTCACCCTTGCGATTCTTGACCTCCTCCGTGGTCTTCTTCTCTCCGGGCTGGATGGCGTCGTACTCCTGCTCGGCCATGGACCCGTGGACACGTACTTGGCCACGTTGGGGTTTGCCGCAACCTTGTGAGAGACCACTGGAAGCCCCCAAACGTCGATGGTGTCGAACTGAGGTCGACGTCTCTCGAGTTCGAGGTTGGTTTTCAGCTGGAGGCTGGAGCAAAGTGGCAATCTCGGCCGACTTAGACTTCTGCACGTTGGGGCAGGCCTCGTTCTGAGTACGGGGCGCTGACCCCGTCGACTTCTTAACGGGCTCAATCACCGGAGGCAACACACCCCGGAACAACTCCTCGTCGGCGTCTAGCCAGTCGTCACTAACGGCTGAGTAGAACGCGTCGACGGCGTGCGCGAGGGGGCCGTGCTCCTTGGCAGTCCAGGACGAGTTTCTTCATGTCCACCTCTGTGGCCAACATGAACGCCTCGGTGGTTCCCACGGTGTTGTGGACGTTGGTACGTTTCGCCGTGGCAGGAATTGCGCAGGAGGCAGCAGTCAAGGCGGTGGTTGGGAACCCCCCCGAGCCATGATTGCTCGTAGGGTCAGCACCTCTGTGGTTTCCCGAATTCGACCTTTCTCTTGTCTCGTATCCCAGGGAACAAGACCACGCTGCTCGAACTCCAGTACCACCAGGCAAGCGACGGCGGAGATTTCGAGTTCCCTCCGGGACTTTGGCCCTGCCATCACCATACATCAGGGCAGGCGGCATCCCAACAGGCCCCTCTGGGCCCGGAAAGATGAGCTGGGGGGTGCTGCCACCCTGGCCGCTGTATGTTGATCAATGTAAGATTATGTAGCTGCTGTGATTGCGGGTCGCTCCGGACTCGACATTGTCGAGATTGAACATGGCGAGGCACCTGTTTTTAAAGTTAGGCATATCTCCTTAACTAGTTATAACATAGAGAGAACTTACTTTATAGTGCCGCAACTTACTCTTGTATGCTGAGTGCCTTGGTAGAGCAGGGACAGGCGATCCTTTAGCTTCTGCCGGAACCCAGTGTGGCTACCGGCAATCTTGATCTTGTTCGGTCTGACCCGCGCCGGGCAGCCACCGACAATGATGGGGTATCGGTCGGCAACATCCAGGAGCTGCTTCCAGCCTCATACATTACGCCGCTATTGGCATGGAACTGACATCGCCATCTTCTAGACGGCACATAGGCCCAGAAAAATCGTTGCCAAGGTAGTCGAATGGCAGCTCTCTTGAATCTGAGACGACCAGCGGACCAGGGAGCCACCAGAATTGGCAGGCGGCGAGAACTGCCTTGCTGGTGTCGAATTTGTATTACAACTGGAGTTATTTCAAAGCGGTTCCATGGCTGCTGTATGTCCCTGGCTGTATGTCCCTAGCTTTAGATGAGAGGATACGCGCGGTCTGCTGCTTCTCCAAGCGGTATGGCACGGGAGACGTTATCGACGCCAGTGTGACTTTAAGCGATTGACCCGTAAATGACCCCGATGCTCAGGCCCCGTCCTATTATGGCTTCCCGCGTCACTGCGTGTCGTGTTCCTCCGGGGCAGGCTTCGCCCCAAAGGCTGATCGGCAGCTTCATGATAGCGGTCAGGACGGTGTGAACTCCCTAGTCCAGTCGATTCGCAACCAAAGTGTATCCTTAGAAACCGCTGTGATGGGCCCTCTGACCACGCCTCGGCCAAGTCCAGACTACTCAAGCTGTAGCATCTGGTTGGGCAGCTTCTGATCCACAGATGAATCGAAATTGGGTACATTGGCTGTGACCTTGACCAGAATTCCCAGACGACCCATGGTGAAGCTCGTCCTTCTTGGGACCAAACGAGCTCAGATTGGGGTGACCGTAGGGCACACACTGAGGCTAGCCATTGTCCTTCTCTGGGTCCCAGTAGGGATTACGAACGTGATGGGGCGGGGGAGCCATCGCGTAGTCAGAGCTGGATGACAGCATTGCTGCCTCGTGGGACGGGATGGGCTGGGCATCCGGGGTGATGTGTCCACCAGGCTCCCCGTTGGATGCGGGGCTGTCGGGGGCAGAGCTCGAAGACGAAGACGTACTCGCGCGGCGCGGGGCAGGGTCGAGAGTGCTGGCGGTCGCGTGCTAATCCTCACGGGGCTGGCCAGGCTGGCCAGGCGTCGGAGCCGACAAGGCAACGCCCTTGTCATACTCAGCAGAATCCTCGTCGCCAAGACCACCGAACGACTTGAAGCTCTCCTCATCGCTGCTGTCCTTGTTGTTGTTGTTATCGCCAGGGAAGGGCGCAATCTAGGCACGATCGTTGTCCTCGTCGACACGATCACCTTGGTGGTCACCAGGAACAGGGCTCATGGCCAGCAGAACTGTCATCAAGGAGTCCCTCGTCTATAGGTAGAAAATGGCAATTGACGCGAGCCTATGGGATGGTGTGCAAAGCGACTGTGTCAATTGACGTACAGTGGCGAGGGAGCCTTGGACAACAGAAAATTCTTTCTCGGCGGTTGCGGTCAACAAACTAAGGGGCATGAGAAGCTGTACGGCCAGCTCCTCTTCCTCAGATGAAATCCTCAATGCCAGCTTTGCAGCATCATGGCTGAGACGCAGTTGGTTCAGCAAATGGTGTAGCTGGTAGAGCTTGGATCAGAGGGACGGATTCTTCCTCCAGATGAATGGTATGGGATACCCCGGCCGTGGATGAGAGCAGACCACTACATATTGTGCAGCGCCTCCCTCTGGAGTCGGGTGGAGGTGTGGTTGTCAAACATTCATAGCGCAAGGAGACTCCGAGGTAGGACGGGGGCAGCAGAGAGATCATAAAAGAAGACTGAGACCTTCAGACCAATACGTCCCAGCAGGAGGCGGCCGAATCATCACGCACGAGTTACCAGGCTGCCTTGATCTCAGCGCTGGCTGTTTGCTTGACGCCGACGGCAGGAGGCTCTCGATATTGGTGACATGATGGAATCCCGCGCCTTTCTGACCCTGAGGCGCCGGAAGAACACATTAGGTAGCTCTTCGGGAGAGTGCTGTCAGCGGTAGCACGGAGAGAGGTTGGTCCCTCTGGACCAAAAGTCGCCTTTTTGATCTGGTCGTCGCGCACGTTCAGACCGAGCGGCTCCTCACCGAGTTGACCAGCCACACCCACGAGTCGGGACAGATGTACACGGGTACGAGGCACGCTGTAGGCGAAGAGACATTGGGACTTCCCCAAGGCCAGAAGCAGCGCCACGGCGGGCTTGGCACGTGGAGCCGGGGACGAGTCTACCCTAGGGTATTTCGTCTTCAACGATCGCCATTTGAACAGATCCCAACGGCCTGGAACTTTCGCATGACAGTTGGCCACCCAACCATAAATGGCAGCTTAAAATCGCCATGGTAGCTTGAGGATGTATCGACCCCGCCTTTTGTCATGAATTGAATGTAGGCAAGTCAAGTCCACCCTGGCAGTGGTATGACGCGAAGGACCACTCGAGGGTGTGCCGGGCACCCCCGTTCTTGGGCTTCGGCTTGACACACGCCAGAATCTTCACGGCGTCCCTTCGCAAGCATTTGTCAAAGACCTCTAAATGGAACGCCACCAGGAGGACAGCGATGAATAAAATGGAGAATCGATCAGTGGGGTTGCGCTGTTGTTGGCTTCGATTCCTCCATCTCTTTGCCGTGCACAAGGTAGTGCAACCCGCGTGGAGAGAACGCTGCCGATCCTGGACCTTGAAAAGTCTTGGGAGTCTGGTCCTCGGTCTGGCGTCCAATCTCGTCCCTTTGGACGAGCGGTTGACGTCCTTGATGTCGAGAAAGCGGTTTGTCCTTCGGGAACCCACTGGTCGGCCCATAGACTTCTGTCTCAGTACGTCGACAGCGGGCCGCCTGCAATGGACGTCCTCAACAATTCCATGTAATGCAGACAATTCAAAGATTTCTCAACTGCTGGTTGAAGAGAGTACTCGGAATTGTGGTTGGCTTCATGGCTGACATCATTGTATAAACTTCCCGATATCAATAAGAAGAGTTGGGCGTCGAGGGTGTGACGAAGCAGACCCTGCGCCACAGCAGCTCGTTGTGGCAGACTGGAGTGGGACTCTACCGACTGCTGCAGAGAGACATTCTGAAGTGCACCTCTGTGCACTCCCCCAGAAAACAGCTCCACCAAGTGAAGTTGAAGTTGGGCTCCGCAATGTACTGATACACGTAGTCGCGGCTGCTGGGGCGGCTATCTCTAGTCATGCTGGTGTGCGTCAAAGTACTTTTCCATCCCGTGGGCTTGTTCGTCGAATTAAAGACAGGCGAGAAAATGGTAGCAAAGCCAAGAGGGTGGCTGTTGGGCGATATGACTTGTAGAGAAGGCTGCTAAGTTGTTATCGTCGTCGTCGTCGTCGTCGCCGCCGGATAGATGCCACCTGGCACATGGAAAAGAGCCAAGCTAGTGCGTTGTATTCTCTCAACTATGACATGAAGTACATAGAAGAAATGGCGAAAACGACGAGAGGCGAACTTCTGTTGCGCAGCAATAATGTTTTTGGGAACCCTGCCGGCCTGTCCTCATAGAGAAGTGAACAATTCGTCAGCTCGCGTTCCCGAAGTTGAGCAAACATGACAATAGATCGCTTACCTGGCAGGTCGGGACGGTTCAGCGCTGGAACATGAAGGCCTTTCATTGTGTGGCGAATATCTTGACTTTTCGTTTGAAGGGTGTGTGGGACTTGGGTTGGAAAGGCTGGAGAGCCTCAATGGACAGGGAAATAGGACTTCCAAGGTTGCCCGTTGTCCCATTCGTTGCCGTCTCGTTCACGGGCAGGAACGCGTGGTAGCCTCAGACATACCCCCACCGGGGTCGGCAGTTGAATCTGTCTATTTGGTAGGATTCGACGGCCGACCTGCCTGGAATTCCTGCAAGAACTCTTGGGAACGTTACCAGGCCGCCGAGCCTCACTTGTTCGTCGCCCAGTCGATCGGTATTATGTCGTGTCCTCTGAACGGGTCCAGGGCCACAATCCGATGCAATAAGCTGCCATGGATGATTGGTTTCATGTAAGCAAAGCCTGGGTCGGGTGATGACTCTGTTCTGCACCTTCAGCCCAGTAGCCACAGGTGAATCTCGCAGTGTGTCTTTAGCCAAGTTCAGGCCCTGGATACTCTCACCAGCGACTGTGACAAAACAGGGGTGGCGACAGGGTGCGACTTGACATGAAGGACCCCGTGAACATCCTGCAGGCGATAAGCCTCGTGGTTGGGTCAGAGGTCGCTGCCATGATCTGGAAGTCGCGGAAGAAGGCACCGCCACTTGCGCCTAGCCAGGTGCTGGTTAGCCCAGGCAAAGGGCCTGTCGATGTTGTTATTCAGTGCTGCGTACGTCGGTCTTTGCAAGCAGCTGCGGCCTGATAATGGCCGACGATGACTTGAACGTACGGTTGAAGAATTGTATGTTCTTTGCCGTTAAGAAGAGGTGGTGGTTGATCTTCTACTGGATGGCGTACATGAATCGCTTTTTGAGAAGGTACAGCAGCCGCCGTCTGAGGCGGTACTTCCTCGTCGGAAACATGTTGGCAGCCTTCAACAATCACCCCACAGTCTTTACAGCGCAGCTGTCCCAGAAACATGGACGGTCGCCTCACGTATGTATGGGACTGTGACAAAACGGTCTCCGAGGATGATGATCAAATTCAGATATCTAAGACGGTGATCTTGTTGGCAGTCTTGGCATTTTGCCCAATTCTGATGTTAGCATTGTCTGAATATCTACTTGGTAGAGTTAGCACCAGACTCACCCACCTCTCAATCTCAGCCTCGTCGGTTTCGCGACGTGGATGCTGTTCGTCCAAGGCTCAAAAAGCGATTCCATGTCTGCCAGGACCGAGCGCTGGACTCGTGACGGGCATCGGCCAAGGGTCTGCGGACACAT